GATAGGATTGGCCGGGCGTCCCTGGAGTCTTGGTCTTGCTGCCATATGATAAGTGTAGTACAGAGATCGTCTCATGCTTTAGACTGACTCTGACGCGTCTGTCGATGAACAGAGGGGTGTCATTGTACAATGTTCTCTTCAGTGCAGTCCACGGTGCACCATTAACTATAATATTCTGCTGTAACACAAAGGTGGGCGTGTGAATGGCGACTTTCCCCTAATCCGGTGCATTGGCTGGAGCAGGGAGGTTTGCGTTTCGCAGACCTGAGGAGAGAAAAGTTCGAGAGATATTGAAAAAGTCTAGAGGCAGTTTTGTGTTCGGTGATGAAGGCAGGCGTCTGTGACACATCCTGTCTGTTTATTTACTTGTGTGTGTGTGTGTGTTTTTGGTGCATGTATCTTGAAAAGCACGCATGAGTACTGAAAAATCGATCTCTCAGAATGGAAGTGGCGCAAACTTCCATGGAGGTGGGAATTCCCCTGTTGATGTGAACTTGGAAATTTGGCGATCTCCATTGTCGAGGCCTGGGCGATCCGGCGGACGCAAATTGTATCTCCCTACTTACCATATTCGCTTGTAGCGTCGATTGCACGCCACTTATGGTAGGCTCTTCAGACCATTTTTTCAAATCGGTTTTCTGTGGCTTATGTTTTTTTTTGTGGATAGGTTAGAGCGTCCTGAGGAGTTTGGTCTTTAATTTTTCTAAATCGGACAAAGGAAACTAAAGTTACAAGCAACCTAGGCATCACCTGTCACCGCATTTTCCGACAAAAGCCCCACACATTTGAGATCAGAGAGATACATCTGTCAGCCTTTGGGTCATCCTAATAAATTTATTATTAAAATGGCAATAAATAAGATAAATTGTGCACTCATAACAACAGCAAAAATGAAGAAAGTCAAGTTCCATAAGGTTTTCTTGTGACTGTCATCAGTGGAACGCCGTCACATAAAAATGTAATAACTAAAACACACACTTATATACATGTACATGTAGCTAATATGGTTTCAGGTAGAAATACAGCAGCTAACAGGTACAAAAAGGGAAGTTTGCACCTTTGCAATGTGTGAATATAGTGTATGTGAGAAAGGTAGTGGCAGATGAATGTGATACTGTGTGAATGAATGTAATGGTGCGTGTGTATTACTTGAAGAGTGTGAGTGATACAACGTTTTCTTTCTGTTTACATAGCACAGGGTCACGAGTACGAATATACACAGCTTCCAACACCTGCAATTGCTTGAAGAAACGTGCGCAACGAATAACACTAAACCAGGAATCGTCAAACACCTTACGACATTCTGGACTGGACACCAAATGCTTGTACACTGCAGACTTCCTCTTGTCAACATCAAACTCCTCCTCATCACTACTCTCATCCTCCACCTCCATTCCAATGCCGCCGTCCATCCCATCTACTATATTCACACATTGCAAAGGTGCAAACTTCCCTTTTTGTACCTGTTAGCTGCTGTATTTCTACCTGAAACTATATTAGCTACATGTATATAAGTGTGTGTTTTAGTTATTACATTTTTATGTGACGGCGTTCCACTGATGACAGTCACAAGAAAACGTTATGGAAGTAACTTGACTTTCTTCATTTTTGCTGTTGTTATGAGTGCACAATTTATCTTATTTATTGCCATTTTACGACTATTGTCTCCTCGTCGATTGTTTAAATTTATTATTATTATTATTAACTGTTTTTTATTAATGTGTACGTGAAGTGTGTGGGTACAGTGAGGGCTGCGTCCCGCCCGCCTGTGTGGATTCACAGGAGGTGTGACTACACCATAGCTCAGTGGTAAGAGCATCGCTGGCTACAAGCGAGGGTCCCTGGTTCGAGTCCTGGTGGTGACAGTCAATTTTTTCTTCAGACTTTTCCCGTTTGTCTCTTTCCCTCAAACCAGTTAATATTATTATTATTATTATTGAGTCGAAGGTTCGATGGACTTCTCGTGTGCTCTGGATGGCAGTCGTGAGTCAGTCAAGTGTCAAGAAAAGTCGGCGGAATAGCGCGAGCTCCGGTGTGGGGAGCAAACCTTTTCTTACAAATCATCGCCGAAGTCGCAACCACTACTTCGTATTATTATAATCCAACGGATCCAAATGTGACCTTTGTGCGTATATGGCGGGTAAAAATCATTTCTGTACACATTGTGGTACGCACACGTGGATGGAGATAGATCGTATAGAGCTTGTTTACTTTTTGTACGACGCACGGGATGAGTACGACGTTCACCCTTTTGGATGCCTTGTGAGCAGGGAGTAGTACAATATGTACTACTCCCTGCTTGTGAGCGCCATTTTCCGGGCTTGGCGGATAATGCCGGCAGAAAAATTGGCAGGGCATGTTCGATTGGTAAGGATCGGGATCGGGATCCAGATCTCAGATCCCTCGGATCCTTCAGATTCAACTGAACACTTTATCTTGGACCTTGACTGTTGCCATGTTGAAAATGGCGCTCACAAGGCACCCAAAAGGTTGAACGTCGTACTCATCGCGTGCGTCGTACAAAAAGTCAACAAGCTCTATCTCCATCCACGTGTGCGTACCACAATGTGTACAAAAAAGATTTTTACCCGCCATATACGCACAAAGGTCACATTTGGATCCGTTGGATCCGGTCGACCCTGCTCCCCGAGGTTTTTTTTTTTTTTTTTTTTTTTTTTAGCTCCCCGACGTGGGTTGACCGGATCCAAATCCGAAGGATCCGGATCCGGATTCGACCAATAGAAAGGGTGCGAATCCAGTGGATCCGGTGGATCGGGATCCCGATCCTACCAATCGAACATGCCCTTAAGTACATTTTCTGGTAATATGCATGTTTTGTATGTGGATAAAGAAATGGAGCAGAATTCGAGGAATTTCCCGCCAAGGTTTGTATGGTTCTGGCAATTTCGGTGCAAAAAAAGCAGAATCTGACACCGTTTCGAGCATAAGGCCTACGTTGGATCCGGTCAACCCTGCTCCCCGAGGAGGGTTGACCGGATCCAAATCCGAAGGAACCGGATCCGACCAATCGAAAGGGTGCGAATCCAGTGGATCCGGTGGATCGGGATCCCGATCCTACCAATCGAACATGCCCTAAGGCTTTTTTTGTATAATAATCGGCTCTTGTACGGGCAACAGAACATAACGAGACTCGTACAAAAGGAAAAAGGCCCAACCCTGCCCTAGCCCTAGCCCTGCGCCCTGCCAGTTACGTGGACTTACCGGGGTCGCCATGGCAAATGATCATTGAACAGAGGATCAGAAGTGGCATTCTGCTGCGGCCAGCACAGCGGGAATGTCAGCCAAAGCTCGGTTAGATTTCGGTTGAGTGGCTCGATGTTCACGGAGGCTAGCCTGCTGATGAGGGCGCGTTCAGACTACCGATAAAATGTGACCGATTGGAAAGTCGCCAAGGTGATTTGATCACGTGACGTTACTGGCACGTTACCGGTGGGAAAGTTTTACTGCCGCGGCTGCCGCGGCAGTAAACTTTTACCGGCAGTAAAAAAGTGCTCAGGCTGCATGCGCGCTGGGAAAAAAGGGAAAATCCCTTGTCAGTACCGCGGTGAGAGCTGAAAACTTCACGGTAACGTTAGTTTGTTATCGGTAGTGTGAATGTCCTTCACGGTTTATCGGCATTCACGGTTTGACGGGGTTCACGGTAGTCTGAACGCGTCCTCATGAGCGGACAAGAGAGAAAGAGACCCTTGACCTGATCCAGGCCAGTACGGCGGAATAGGGCTCTTTTCCCTTGTCCGAAAGCATACAGGCAACTCTGTTGTAGAGCGCAGAAGCCGCTTTCCCGAATCCTCCAGATGCACTCAAGACTACCAGCACAAATGACGTGTGCTCAATTCTACGGATTCGGGCCTCATAGGAGCGCCTCTTCTCAGCGTCGTGTTTTCGGTATGTAGCTGGAAGTGACTGCTGGCGGTTGGAACGTGCATGAGGGTTGAAGACTCGGATGTCTAGAAACGTCTCTTTCAGGTTAACCGTTCTGCCTCGCGGAATTGTTTTTGCGCTATGGTTGGATACGGTCTGGACTGTGCATGCGCGCATATGCGGCGCTACCTTCACACCTTCACACGCTTTACCCTGCCCCATTGGTGCCTACCCCTCCATCAAGAGTACATGGACCCATGGAGGGGTAGGCACCAATGGGGCAGGACAAAGATTAAAGTGACAGTCAAGTGTTTTGTAGAGCCCTGGAAGTCGTACTAAATGTATTCTGTTACTAGACAGGTTCCGCATATCGTATATCTACGCTATTAAAAAAACGTAGTCGATCTACAGAAAATCTGGCGTACACTGCATGCGCAATCTGTGTTCGGAGATTTCAAATCACGTACTGTACTACTACAAGTAGTACTAGCTGCCCTTACAAATCGGTGCGCGGCAGTGCACGACAGGGGGTCGGGGTCGCTTTGGTGTTGGCTCTTGCTCGCTCGCCTTCCCGACAGACAGCGAACAGTCTCCACTGCATGCGGGAGCTGAAACGAACTTCTCAGCCTCACCCTCGTATTGTGTTCGCGTTTTCGCAGCTAGTCAAAGAAAGCGCTGGCGAGGGGCATGAGGCAGGGAGAGAAAGTTCTGAAACAGGGTGCGACACACGAATGACCAGGCACGCGGTTCCAGTGTTCTTAGTCACATGTAGCTTCAGCCTTCAGGCTCAGTCAACTTCCGTTGCAACTTCAGGTGGGATTCTGTCTCGAACCGAATGCCGCTGCGCATGAACAAATACCATCGTATCGGCAAGAACAAGGGGTCATGACCTTGGGCCCATGTACAGCTTGTGTACAATTTTGGGTATTAGGTCCATACATGTAGTACGTTATGGCTTGTTCTGTGCCCGTATACGGCCGTATCACGGGGAATGTTGTGTACGGTTTTCGACTGGTGACAAACTCAACACGTGGCTATGGGCAGATGTGACTATTCTATATTCTGTTGATACCGGCTATTGAAGTGTTGTTTCATGCCCATCTAGCAGGTATCTCGCTTGAGGTGTGATCTACTATTGTTCCTTTCGAATCTACATCGAAAAAGCATTGACAAGAGAGCGACTTTTACTATCTTGTTGGTCGATAGAGGCCAGCGTAGATAATTATAGCTCGGTAGACACTGGTTGTAGAGCGAGAGGAGTGATCCGTGTCCTGCGTCAAATGTAGACTTCCTTGCTCCTTTCCTGGAGGCGATGTCCACGCGGAGATTTTCGTAGAGCCCATCAAGTACCGGTAAGAACAATTTGTTTGAAGATTTTCAATGGTGTAGATAGTAGTTAACAGGTTGCCCTCGACAGGTTTACACAGAGAAGTCTGTTTATACACACGCCTCGTTGCTAAACCCCGAAGTGTAGGCTGTTTGTATTAGGTAGGCGAGTGCAAACACCTTGCCTTACTAAGAGTTGCTGATGAATGTTGTACGTGATCACTAGGCCATGGCGATTATTATTGGGGAAGGGGAAAATGTTTCGGAAAGTTAATTTGATGAAAAATGCTTGAGACATTGTATCCTGCAACAGCTACGGTCGTGGCAAGCGAAATCCGACAATAGCCATAGCCATTGGGGACAGTGCCACAACTGGACAGTGATGCAATGCACTGAACCTAATTTGTACAATACAGCCGTACATCTATGTACTAGTATCCCAAACAAGTCGAAAGTTCACAGCGTGGACACACACACAGTTCACCGACATGGTACACATAAGGAGTACCGTAAAGTACCGTTGATCCGCCCCCCACGCCATGTCGCTTCCCAGCTGGGTTTTCGGCAGGGGGCGGGAATTAGATCAAGGCTGTCAAGTGCAGTATGATGTACAACAACGTAGAGGATCAGTCTCAATGTGCTGGATTGTGCACATTTTGATCCTGGATTGGCAAGTATTGTGTACAGCAGTGTATGCGTCGGTTCAACATCGTATTTCGTTGTATACGCCGAAGTCGCTTCACAAGGAGAAAATCGACAGGGGGCGGGAATTAGAGAGGGGGCGGATCAACGGTACTTTACGGTATTGGTATCCAATCCACATTCATTTTGGCCAGTACGAGGTGATTTGGCTTTTTTTAACATTTGGCATTTTTAACAAATGTGTAAAATTGGCTTTTCTCCTGGCTGTTTCTCTGCTCCGGATGGCTGTATCGAAACATGGGTGGTGGAAAATGAGAGCCAGTTTATCGTAGATCAACATTGACCAGAAAATTTGGCGCATATAATTTAATTCTCCCTGCCACGTCGGTATAACTAGTGGTGGGTGCTTTGCCATTTTGTGTAAAATGTGTAAAATGAGCCCCTGAATGGACGAGGAGGGCAGTGATTTGCTTCCGCAGGGCCTTTGGACGACGTCAGGCCGTCTTGCCATCCGTAGAGACAGTAATGAAAAACAGTAGGTCACGGAATACACTCTGTGACAACGAAAACATGGCTGCGATGCTATGCTATCTATCCAATTCCACCGTATAACACAGCCACTAGTTACAAATACAAAAACACGGCTTTCGCAGCATACAATGCAGTTCACTCCTCTGTTGACAGATTAATTATCATCCACTAGCAATCCTTGAAGTGATATCTATCAACTTAAGAACATTGATGACCGATTATCCCAGTTTGTGATGCCATTTTACAAATTTGTTAAAAAATGACACACCAATTATTTGAATCCTGAGAATACTATGAAAGTAGGACATGATTCAAGACACTTTCCAAAGTGGGATCATTCCCATTTTTGGACACAATGGGCATGACGGATAGCACTTCCATTTGCAATAATTTATTTGGACATAGCTTGTCTAGAAGTGACTGAAAAAAACGTCATTTTACAACCATGTTAAAAAAAGCCAAACCACCTCGTACCTTTGAATCTTGACTGTGAACCTTGGGGGTAATGAGTATGGCGGTGTTTACATGAGGCGTTTCAACCCGGGTTGAGTTCGACCCGGGTCAGATTTCAACCCGCCATGTGCATAAAATGAATGTTGCGTTTACATGATGCATTGTGCTTGACCCGGGTTGAAATTTTGCCCCGGGTTGAAATCAACCCGGGTCAAGAAAATCGTACAAACGTACTTCTGTGCGTATCTCGCGCCAGGTTTGAACGGCACTGCAGATGCAAATTTTGCGCGAACGGATTCACGTGACCATACAGGACTGTAGAAGTGGACTTTTGGCGGCATATCAGTATTTGACCCGGGTCAACTGTCTTCATGTAAACGCTCACCTCTTTTGTCTATCGTACAGACTTTCAACCCGGGCTGAACTTGACCTGGGTTGAAATTTCTCATGTAAACACAGCCTAAGAGTTCTGTCATAACACAGATAAAAGTTGTACTTCCTCCGCGTCATCGAAATTGTCGCAGTTTGACTTTTGACATAAAACGGGGTATTTGCTCACCAGCACTCGTGATACAGGCAAGGAATCGGACATAGGCGATAGTCATCAGTATAGGGTGACGGCAAAGTTCTATTTTCTGTTATTGGAAGCTGACATTTTTGAACTAGACGCAATTTCTTCGCTGATGTTGCTGCGATGGTAATTTCGACTCGCTGAGATCAGTCAGGCGTTGCAGCCTGCACATTTCTCGTGCTTATGGCCATTCACTCAAGCCTCATCACTGTTTTTTTACCTTAGCTGGGGCGAGAATGACTTCGTGGAACAAGTGGCAGCACTTCAGGGAGAAACATCGAGGGGTCAGCAAACTAAATGCATGCAACAACGATAAAATTTGTCGCTCTGGCTGAGACACTCAGTGCATGATTGTACCTGCAAGAGGCGTGTAGACTCTACACGTAGTGCAAGTGATGCATGCGCAGGTACTAGGTGCTGTATCAGTGATGTTGAAAAAGAGGTCGCGCTGGACGTGATAGTACACTTACCTGCACGAGCTGTGACCAATGGTGACCACACAGCTAAAATAAATGGGCATGCCACGGCTAAAAAAAGTTCATTTCAAGATCGAGGTGATTCCGCCGACGGTAATCAACCGACCTCGCAACGATCGTGTATTCATACTTCGTTGGTGGTGAAGTAGAAATCATCCAGAGCTAGCAGACGACAAGCATAGCAGCTCTTGTCCTGTGGAGAAAGTCAAAGCGTTTGAGATGAGGCGCGACCAACTTTCAACCTTCCTTGAAATATTTCGGAACAATATTTTTGCGTCCATTGACATCAGCGACGACGAGGACTTCATCTCTGCGTGAAAACTCTCAGTCCAACTGTCCTGGAACGTTACTCTAGTCTTCAGACTATCATACTGTGGTATAAATTTTGAATGGTTTAGCTTATGGAGTTGTCAGTAACAAGTGAGAAGTCACTAGTCAAACTGCGACAATTTCGATGACGCGGAGGAAGTATATAACCAGTATACATGACTGTACTACGTATCCTGGGCTGCAGGGGCTGCACACTGCATGGTGTAGTCCCTGATGCCAATTGTCGGATTTCACTTGCCACAACTGTCCATCAGTGACTTTCAATACGGTAAAATCCCGCCAGAGCGCCCATACCTTCACAACCATTCGCGTAGGTTATTCATGGCTCACATATGACGGGTTTACGTGGCTCTAGTAAAAAGAAAAGAAGAAAGAATATCTATTTGGGGAGGGGTGGATAGGCGAGTCCTACTCGTACACCGACCGAAGGTATCGAAGCTAGGAGTCGTACAAACCCGTCAAAACCCAGGGTTTGTACGATCCCTGGACAAGAGGGTTGGAACTGTTGTGTACATTTCCACCCAGGTATGGTATGGTATGGTCATTTTTATTTGAATTCACCAATCGAACAGGCATATCTGCCTTCTTGCCGGGATGGCCAGAGCCAACCACAGCTCCTACTGATTGATGAATATGATAATGTGAAGCAAAAAAAAATGGCACTTTGTCAGCTATATTATTCTGTACTAAAAATATGGAGAGAGCAGTAAGTGGATTCCATATTGAAGGACTGTGGATGGTGAAGATGCTACTTGTGTTTTATGATAAAAGTATAGGGAGAGAGAGAGAGACAGAGAAAGGGGGAGGTCGAGACTGCGTCTGCAGTACAGTATGGCCTCACACACTCACAGAGTCATACGAGGATGCAATCATTCTCACTTCCCTGACAAGAAGTCAGGGATGGGCGCATCGGAGAGACGGGCACTCTGGCGAGATTTTTCGATAGTGGCAGTACTGTGGAATCTTGTGCTGGCTGCCACAACTACTACTACTACTACTACTACTACTACTACTACTACTACTACTACTACTACTACTACTACTACTACTACTACTACTACTACTACTACTACTACTACTACTACTACTACTACTACTACTACTACTACTACCACTACTACTACTACTACTACTACTACTACAGTACTACTACAGCAAAGTACCGCCAGAGTGCCCCATCTCGCTTGATCTTACAGCCCGGGAAAGGAACATCGTATGGTAGAGTGCAAAGAAAGTTTGTACGGCGTGGGAACCTTTGTATACAAAGGTTTTGTGTGGAGCTTCTGTCCGCTTGAAGGTCAGAATGGAGTACGGATGGGCCGCATAACGTGAAATATGTGTACAAGGTTCGTGTCGTATGACCTACAGACTGCAGACTACCTCCACAATACGATCACAAAAGGACGAGATGGTGGGGTGCTCTGGCGCCCCACGCCATGTCCCTAGCCCAGCTGGGTTTTCGGTGGGGGGAGGGAATTAAATCAAGGCTGTCAAGTGCAGTACGATGCACAATGGCATGGAAGTTCAGACCCAATGTGCTGGATTGCGCACATTTTGTATACAGCAGTGCATGCGTCGCTTCAACATCGTGTTTCGTTGTGTATGCCGAAGTCGCGTCACGGCCGGGAAATCGTCAGGGGGCGGCAATTAGAGAGAGGGGGCAGATCAACAGTACTTTACGGTAGATTTAACATCTCCTGACAAAAGCGATGTCTGTGTCCTGCTGTCACCCTGCACGTACACCACTGCAGCATGCACGTGCGTGTGGGTTTAGAGTATCTGTGCCACCTAGACTGAACGGCATGCCAGAGCAGACGCGTGGTTTGTGCTACGGAAGAGCACGCAACGTTACAGCATGAGTACCCGTGTAGCACACACTGCTCTAGTTAATCTTGGTCACTCTGTCTGGTAATACTGTCACCTTGTTAGCGAGTGTTGACAATGTTTTACCAATTCCTACAAGGGGGGTGTCGACTAGGTCCACGAAACTGGAGACGTCAGACTACCATCTTGTGCAATGTTTTCGAGTTTGTAACTTCTGTTGTTAAAAGTAACAGGCGGCAAGCCCCTAGTCAAACGGAGGTATTTTTGATGGAGAGTAGTGCTGCTTATGTCATGAATACACGTAGATCCGTTTTTTATTTACATGTATTTTGTTTCAATGGCTTTGCTTGTCCCCTCAGCTGAAATGAATACCATCAGCGAACATTCCAGTTTCACCGGAACAGCATTGAAACCCATGCCACAGCCAGGAACAAGTAACATTACTAGAGTTGAGAGCTCGGCAAATGGTAAGAAGTTGTTAACCCTTTCCATGCCATGGACGCGTATACGTGCATTTTTTTAGCATGAGCAGATTGGCCATGGACGCGTTCACACGTTCTGCCTACACTGTACAATGTACACAGCACCGTACATGTGTATCGCGCGCTATAGACGAGTGTACAGACTGCCATAACTCCGTCCAAATATATCAGATTTCTAGTGGCATGATCGATTGGGCGAATCCCGAGCAAGTGTGCTCCTAGTGAGGGTGATCGTTAGGTCGAATCCGATCGAATCCGGAGTAGGTGTACTGTAATCGAATTCCTTTCTACTGTAGTTCGGACCCTAGAGCACTACCATTGCGTCTGTAGGCTCCCTCGATCCCTCACGACCACACACTCAAGCCTCCAACTACGGCTTCTTTACAGGAATTAGTCTAAAAGGAGAGTAAAAAGATCCACAAAAGCCAGCCTGATGCCGCGAGGTTCATGCCCTCACGCGCATCAAAGAACCATAGCAAAAATGGCGCACAGCATGATCAGATCACATGATCATGCTCTGCTCAGCGATTCAAAGCGAGTCAACATATTATGATAACTAAATTATTTAAATCTTTCGAAAAACTATGCTGTCAAAACACCAGTACATTTAGAGAATTATTTGAACAAGATCGAAGGAGAAGATTGATTACTTTATAATGAACTGCAAATCATGCAATTTCATTACAGTACTTGGAGTGGAATCCAACCACACTGGCCCCCACACCGGGAGTGGCTGGAGTGGAATCCAACCACACTGGCCCCCACACCGGGAGTGGCTGGAGTGGAATCCAACCACACTGGCCCCCACACCGGGAGTGGCTGGAGTGGAATCCAACCACACTGGCCCCCACACCGGGAGTGGCTGGAGTGGAAATGGACTTTGCCGTGTTTGGACAGCAGTCACAGAATCTTTGCACGATATGCGTACATTTTCCCCACTACAGCCTTGTTTTGTTCGATTGGGCCAGCGTTGCTAGGACCACACCGCCTGCTCGCACTCAATCCAGATTCGCCAATCGATGACACCCTAAGGTTGAGACACTGCTGGAACGGAATTGAGCTGAGCTTTCCAGGGATATAAAGTTTATCACGATACAACAAGATATGACTGAGTGGCGACGAAATGAATGGCCAGAATGCGCAAATTTCACTTTTTGGCGATCGATTCATTTTTTTTGGTCGTGATTTTGCGCGGGCTAGGGGATTTCCCCCTAGAGACGGTGCATGCGCAGTAAGCTTCTACAAACGGGCCTGAATCTCAGCTTTCCAACACAGTTTGAATCGTGAAAATCCATTCACTGTGAGCAAGAAGACGAAAGAAAACATGAGAGGCAGTCCTCTTGTTATCTTCAGGCACGGTAGGGGGACTTGGAGAGGAGATGGAAGTGACCCTGGTATGCCTTTCACGTTGTCTTACTACCAAGTTCTGTCTCTGTTTGTTGCTTTTAGGTGAGATTTCAAATGGTGACATGCTAATGGTATGCTTGATGGCGGGTGTCGGTGGATTAATTTTTCTCGCCATCGTATCCTTTCTCGTCTTCAATCACCAACGACGATCCTCGCGTCGAATCAGACCCGGCGAAATACGTGCGAACATCAGCCGTGTGAAAAGCGCCAGTAACATCAATGGCTATGACGCCGTATACAACGGCGAGGAAAGCCGTGCGGCAGCCAAGAGTGGGTCTGATTGCAAGTGCAAGAAAAAACAGAGGTAAGAAATGTCCACATCAAAACATTGAGTGAATCTAGTTTTTTTGGTATTTATTATCATTATTATCTCATGGCACATGATGATGACGGCCAGTAAAACTGAGACACGGGTGAAAGCCAACCACAGCAGTAAAACAGATAAAAATACAAATAAGAGGCAAAGAAGGCAAAGGGGGAGACAAACCAGCAGGATATACATGAAACCTATAATTGAGGAGAGATTTTAGCAACAAAATTATCCATCGACGTGCTGGTCTTGGCCTGCGTTGGTAATGTTGCCCAAAACACATAGCCAACAAAGATCGGGGATCTAGTGAATAGGGTGGAGGCAGCGCGTGGGAGACTGAATGAGTTCCGGGTAGTCCGTGTTTCGGAGAACCAATTATAAGCCTGCATATGCAAGGGTATTTTATTTAGTAATATTTTATGTATGAGAACACAGAGGTGGTAGTTATGTCGAGTGGAAAGGAGACTGATCTTGGCAATTTCGTAAAGACTAGCGGAGGGAAAGCGACGATCTTTGCTAAATAAGATTTTAAGGAGCATGCGGTTATGAGTTTCTAGCTTGTTCGATACAGTAGTAGTTATGCCAGACCAAGCAGTATCACAGTAGTCAAGTCTTATTATTATTACTTGCATGTACGCGTTGGAGTCAACCATGCAAGCATGATCCACAAATTCGCTTATGCTGAACATGATAAACAGGACTATGACAGGGGAAAAAATGAGCTAGAACGATGATAATAATAATTATGATACTTATATCATATATATATATACAATGTAGCTCATGGGTATTGAAGATATGTCATTTATGAATATGTCCATAATATGAATATTGCAGCCTGAGTGATAATGATAGTGCTATTTCCTGAGTTTGACTGTTTCAGGATCTGTCGGAATATCACAATGCACAGACCCTCATGCATAGATCTCGCCATGCTGGTCTGTCATGGGCAATGGCTCCCAGGCTCTGCAGAGCATCTACTATTGAACAATCCAGTATTGGCTTGGCGCAGATCTCCCACCATAAAAACTACAGCCGCGAACCACGTAGTGGAAAGCTACAAAAGATGGCCAACCCATTTTCACATGTACAGACAATTTGCAAAAACGTTCCGAACATTCAGGGAGAAGACATTACTTGCATGACACATTGGCAGAACGAACAAGGCAGACTCGAACATTCCAAGATTCTGCAGCCGTTGCGTTTCAGGTGTTGGGTGGCAGCTCCGTTACTGAGGCCGTATACAAGTCGTCGAGCTCGGCTAGCCGCCGCCAACTAGTCAGCGCAACCTCGGCCACGCGCTCGCATTAGCTCCATGCCCGCGTTGACGGAGCTCCGGGTGACCAACAAGCCGAACAGCTGCAAGTCGCGACTCCACAATGACACTGGCCGTCCGCGTGCTCTAGTCCGCGTGCTCTAGTCAAGTAAGGGCATTATATAGCAACGATAAAACAAGCGTTTGCAAGAAAGAGGAAGATGTCTACAGTGGGCTTGAAGAGCCCCAAGGATGGAGCTTGTGCGCTTGCAGACATACTGCACATGGGAAGACCACGACAATTTAGAGTCAATAATAATGCCAAGATGCTTATGCTCTTCAACAATACGAATAGCAACACTTGAAGAAGGAAAACAAAGTGGCAGGGAAGGGGGAGAAGGGGAAATATACATAGCTGCCGTTTTATCAACGTTTGGCTGCAACTTCCAATCATGCATCCAGGTTATAACTTTCCCAATGCTATCTTGCATGGCTTCGTGCAGTCATATAGGGCAAGCATTGGAGCAAAGCAGAGCTGTGTCGTCAGCGAAAAGGCTGACACCAGGGGCAATATCGGGGAGGTCATTAATATACAGGAGAAATAGCAGTGGCTCAAGGATTGAACCCTGGGGGACTCCAGAAGTAACGGGTAAAGGCTCCGATAATACAGTTGAGAGGCGTACAAGCTGATGTCGGTTAGAGAGATACGATGAGAGCCAGCCGATAGCCTTGCCATCAATCCTTGCACAATTAAATCAGGGATAACCACTGAAGAGAGGGGGAGCGTGAAATTTATGTTATGAAGAAGTCTAAGGGTGCTTCTGATGAGTTCGTACCTTGTTTTGTTAACGTAATGCATTTTGAATAGAGTTTACCCCTACCTCCCCTCTCTATTCGAAAGTCTTATCGCACATATTCTGTTTAAATCTACTTCGTCCGTTAACAAAAACTTCGTGATGGATTTTGATGGATATGAACACGCTTAGAACAGGTCAAGAACATTTTGTATCGACTGCAAATCACTGGACGAAGGTGATTCAGCCAATGTACAGCCTCTTGACGAGAGAAACTGCTGGCGGAATGAGCAGAGAGTTCAGTTTGCATCGCTTTCGCTTGATTCATTTTTGACCTGCCTCGCTGTCGTCATCTGCTGCACGCGAGTCGTCATCTGCTGTACGCGAGTAGTCATCTCTCTCGAATTCGTTGTTCAGCTCGTTTCAGCCTTGCCTCAGCTTCTTTGATCACACTCCGCTTGATGTCGCCGTCGTTCAAGTAAGTTTGCTTTCAAGCTGCGTGATCCGCCGCGGTGGCGATTACTCGTTTCCACAAGGGAGTCGTGAAAAATATTTCACGACTCCCTGGTTTCATCTTCGCTCTCCAGAACTCCGCGAAACGAGGAGTGAAGGCACAGCCAAACTGATTCCATTTTCTCTAATGGATACCAGCGCTGAACGGCAGCGGCTAGCAAGTCCAGTCGACTTTCTTTAGCCACGAGACTCGCATCGGATTGCAGACTTCTGAAAGAATGCATGGTCATCAGCATTCGAATCTGGGCTTTGCGCAAGTTGAACAAGAACTTGAGTTCATTTTCATTGAGCCGTGCGATCGGAGCAGCTCCTTGTTCACTCGCTCATTGTGTGGGTTCGCTGCTCCGTTTTATCGCTCTCTATCACTGTTCAACGTGCTTAGTGCTAAAGTGGTAGAGAGGCCAAGCAGCGCAATATCCCCTCGGAGAAGTGGTATTTCAGTTTCGCTCGCCATGACTGCCATCACCTATGTTTCCACAGCGCAACCATCGATTCCGGTTGGCTTGTGAAAGGACGCTTTCCTTGCATCGTACCTTTGTCATGGCATGCCAGGGAAGGCCAAGAAAGTGATTGCGACTCATTTCACGGCAGTTTGTGCCCAAATCAGCCCCTCAAAATTCCATCACGAAGTTTTTGTTAACGGAGGAAGTAGCTATCTTCTACTATCATTTACATGAGCATCATTTTTTGGATTTGAATCTTGACGCTTGAGAACAGTATCTTGTACGCATTTTCTTGCGAATAATCTGGACCACATAACAGATCACATGGCATTGGCAAGGAGTAGCATAACAAAAATACCATACCCATGTACAGAGTAAACCTTTTACTACTCACTGTATAATATGTACTTGACCATGCCTATTTACATGCACATGAGTATTGTGTTAGTATGCAGGTGAATGGCATGAGGAGTCAGTCCACACTCCACAGGCAATCAAGGACAAGTGCACATACCTAAACAAAGTTTCTACACCATGTTTGTATGTATGTATGTATGTATGTTTATACTGAGCTTGTATACAAACTCCCATCTCTCCCCACACAACACTCCAGACTTGTATTTTGCATATAACAGGTACTTCGATGACGAGAATATAAACTGGTATATAAACTGGTATATAAACTGGTGTATAAACTGGTATATAAACTCCTTTTTTTTTAGGATTACACTAGTGACCTGCAGTCCGCCTTGATGGTTTTTCGACATGCACGACGGTCCCAACTTCAGGATCTCTTTCCCGTCAACGATGAAGAGTACAACGTCGTCCTTTGTAACATGTGCCTTGTGCTGCACCTGGCGTTCGAGGCTGTCCTTCTTTCGCTGTTTCAGCACTCCGTCTGTCAAGCGCAGCACTCGACATGTGCGGCTGAAGAGCCCCGCGTGCCGCTCCTCCTGCGTTTTTGCATGGACATAGAATGCAGATAGCAGGGGCGACGGAACTTCACTACTGATGGTTTTCCAATCGATGTTCTCCTTTCCGCGTCCCTCGCAGAGCGGACGGAACATGCGCAGCCATAATCCGTGGCACTGCCAGTGTTCTTAGAAACTGCTGCTTGAATAATGGCATCGTGATTCGTGGTCGTCCTCAGAAGAAACGTTTGGGAGACGATTCAACAGGCTCGTGCTGATTCATTTTACTCTTACTTTGGAAAGGAGACGAACTCTATGTCTCTAAAGTCTAATGAGCAAACGGTTCTTTTACAGAGCCCGCGGTGAGATCTGCGCGCGGTAACGGTCACTAGCACTGTGAGGTTCAAACTAACTTACTTGGCGCATAGCTGTTACTTCCGATGTAACTAGTACTTCAGTACTAAACTGAAGTCACAAAGAGTGTGTGATGGTACTGCACTGGCACTGCATGCACTGCACAGAGTCAGTGGTAGTCTTGTGCTTGATCCGCACAGGTTGGTGAAAGGAAGACTCGTCGAGCCATGGTTGTGGGTTGGAATTCCAATCTCTACCCTTGTGGGGGAGAGGGGAGTTTGTATATCAGCTCAGTATAAGCATAATATAACCTACTCAGTTGATTATATGGGAAATATAAACCAATATACAAACCTCGGCTTCGCCTCGGTTTGTATACAGGTTTATATTTCCCATATAATCAACTGGTTAGGTTATATTATATACATGTATGTATGTATGTATAACTCATAATCACAAGGTGATCGTAGAGGCATTAATCAGCGAGAGAATTGTGAATGATGTCTCTGAATCCAACTCTATCGTGTGCTGCATGAGAGAGAGAGTGTGCAAGGGAAGACCCGTCCAACTTTTAATGTTAGACATCCATGATGTCGCGGGCCTTCCTCTCGGTCGAGATCCAGGAGTTGATCCTTGCAGGAAGGGCTTGGAGAAAACGCCATGTCTCATAACATGGCCAAACCACATCAACTTAAATTTCTTGACTTTGTTCGCTAGCCGCATCCTTGCTCCGATGATGTCATTGATTTCTTCCAGGATAGATTGGTTGGTACGCCGGTCGTGGTATGTTACTCCTAAGAGTCAAAAGGTGGCCAAGTAGCGGGTAATGGGGTATTCACACGACAGGCAAATCCACGTGCACCGAGAAGTTGCTATGATATTTTACCTGTGAACGAGAGAAGTTGCTGCAAGTGGCTGAAAAGTGCAAGCGAGCTGGGGGCCCACTTTCACGATAATCGTGGCGTGCACGAGTACATTTACACCAAAAAGCGTGAAACAAGACTTGATTTTTTTACGCAGCTCTTTAGAACATGATACTTATTTTGTATGCTTATTTGAAAATTTGAAATACCCATGGCTACTGGTCGGCGAAGCATTCAAAAATACAAACGAGCCTGCCGTCGAGTGCAGCTGTGTGAATCCACACAGTCACTTTTCTCGTATGTCACTCCCTGTAAAATGTGCAAGTGCCTGTCATGTGAATACCCCATAAACAGCTTCATCAGGTTGGTGTGATTTTCGACACCTCTGAGTAGCCAGCACCCATGGGTTGGCTCATCTACAAACACAGGTCGATCCAAGCACGCCCATTTGCCGAAGCAATCTAGCATATTTACTGCGAAGTATTTACACATTCAGAAAAGTGTGAACTGCCATTTTTCTAATTCTGAAGTACTCGAAAAGGGCGCTACACCCTACACATGCTTCGATATACGTTACGTTTACGAATAAAATTCAAACTTATGAGATGCTCCCTAAATGAATATTAATTTTGTCTGATTATAATTATAGGATTCAGGTAGTGGTAAATGATCTCTGAGATGCGTGAAACTTGAAGTTACAGCTAACACAGCCTTTCGCCTCTGTTGCGTGTGTATACTGCTCTGTACATTCGGGCATTGAGCGCTCTACCTCGAGCTTCCTAGACTGGCCTTGTTTGTAACAAATTCCTGTATAAATTTAATTTTGTAGAAATGAATACAACTTACCACAATGGTAAATGTAGCATTGAGTTGGAGTTGAATTAACTATCATCCCGTATAGCGGACCCCAGTATTCAAGAGCTAAATTTTCTGCTGCCGCTTCTAATACTGCTGCTACGGTTGTGGTTGTGGTTGCTGTTATTGTTTCTGGTGTTGCTCCACTAGATTGGTGAGCAAAACGTCAAGTCTGCCATCCATGTTAACCGTGCACAGCGACATGATTCATAGCAACATCTCGTCGTTCTGCGCTGCAAGGCCCCAGAACGTTTACGTTGAGGACAATGACAACAGCAAGTTCTGCACTGCGATGCAGAATAGTGTTTTCGCCGTGGATAATGACTTTATCACTTACTGCGATGCCGAAGAGTGTGTTGTTCCATGGGTACAGTCCAGAGACAACTGTGACAACACTCTAACGCAGAATGAAGCATACAGGTCTTTGAACCAAGTCAACACAAATGACAAAACTGGAAAGTAAGTGATTTGGCTGTTTTCATTCACAAGATTAGATACGGAAATCTTGCAAAAGTCATTAAGTTTGCCTTGGTCACTTTTAAATTGTAATATGGAAATTGTGGGCACACGCTATGCGATCGCGTCCACCAATTAAACCAGATTTTGAACAGTCAGACGGGCACAATCTAGCACAATCCAGCCCACAATTTCCATATTACATTTTTTTTCCTTCGCTCACCATCTGAGTTCTTGGTGCTCACCTTTAAATGTTAATACTTTTCTCGTGGTGTGAAATAATTCATTTTCTACTTTCCCCGCTTGAGGATGGAGCATCGTACGTCCCACGGTTGATGTGTTATTGTGCGCTGTATGTACAGTAAAATCCCGCTAGTGCCCCCCCCCCTAACTACGCGACCCATCGAGTTGGTCCAGGTGGGCAGGGGCGGATGGGTGAATCCTGCTTGCCGCTTTCTGTACTAAATATAAAAAGCACTGATCATGCAAAAAACTGTGTGTGCGTCTCGTACATCGACCAAAGATCAAGAGCAGGGAGTCATGGAGACCAATCAAAACCCAGGATTTGTGCGATCACTAGTCAAGAGGGTGTGACGTGTTGCATGCATTTCCAACAAGGCTATGCAGTACCGTATGGTATCACACAGAGTCATTCCAGGATTCGTGCTTCCCTGCAAAGAAGTCAGGGAGGAGCGCATGTGAGAGATGCGGTGCTCTGGCGGGATTTTACTGTTTAGGCAACCGAACGACCAAGAGCATCAGTCTTCAGGTCAGTTAGGCGAGTGATAGTGTTTATGCTGAGACGGTCGAGGAAATTTGCTGGTATATCCAGCTCTGTGGGCTGTTCGAGGTGCCGTGGTGTTGGATATTTGACTGCTGTGGTGTTGGGATCCAGTTACTCTGCTCATGGAGGTGCTCGGTGCCATGAGTCGTGCAAACAATGGAGGTGTAATGTGCTATGCATAATGTCAGCAGTTAAAAGCATGAACATACCTCCCCAGAGTACCAAGAGAACATAACTCCCCAGAGTACCAAGAGAACATAACTCCCCAGAGTGTGCAACGCCTGATCCCGCTCTGCTCCGGGTTTTTGGTCGAGCGTAGTTGGGTCTTCTCATGTCATCCGCACACTCCACACCAGCGCAAGGCCCCGCCTCGAGGCAGAGCGCCATTATTTTTGATCGGAGAGTCCCACCGACTCCCCGTGTTCCCCTCAGATGTGTTCGGTATTATGACGCAAAGATCCGATTACGATTGACCAAGACCCTATGCAGATCTGGATCAGGCGCTGCGGGTGGTTATGTAATCTTGATACCGGGATTGAGTAGGCATTTATAGTATTTTTGTATTGCTTTTATTTTACATCGCAAGTCAAACGGGCAATCATGCCCATTGTTATGATGACGATGGAAAGGGAGAAAAGATTAAGAACAATATTAGATATCCTATTAACTGGTTTGAGGGAAAGAGACAAACGGGAAAAGTCTGAAGAAAAATTGACTGTCACCACCAGGACTCGAACCAGGGACCCTCGCTTGTAGCCAGCGATGCTCTACCCACTGAGCTATGGTGTAGTCGTCATCCCAGCAGAGGCCGTTCAACATTTTCTTCAGACTCCGTACCTCACACTTCCTGTGAATTCACACAGGCGGGTGGGACGCAGCCCTCACTGTAACCCACACACTTCACGTGCAAACTAGCACGCGGGGAGCCCCAAGTCATAAAATATTAACTGGTTCGAGGGAAAGAGACAAACGGGAAAAGTCTGAAGAAAAAATTGACTGTCACCACCAGGACTCGAGGTCCTGGATTATTTTTTTTTTTAGTTATGAGAAACCTGGAAGTGCTATGTGTACAATGTCAAGTGTGACATTTGTAAAGTCACCGAGACCACGCCACCACTCCCCTTATTCATGGCTCGCATATGACGGGTTTACGTGGCTCTAGTAAAAAAAAAAAATGTAAAATGGGAGGCGTGTAAAGAACAGCTCTAAATGCCTCATGTACACCAGGTCTCAAGCTCAGCTCCTTGCTGCTGATATTTAGCGGTCAACAGAACTTACCTTTTCTTTATTTTTTACATTTCTAACTCAGATGGTGAGCCAAGGAAAAACGACTGTAACATGGAAAAATGTGGGCACAAGTCATGCGATCGAGTCCACCAACCAAATCAGATTATGAACAGTCAGACATGCGCATTCTACCACAAAGAGTAATGAGACATTCCAAGGCATGAAAGTCAGCTTGTGCCCACATTATTCCATGTTACAATTTTTTTTACGTTACAGTCGGACCTCGCGTATCCGGCCGTCTTTCAGCCGGATCCCTCACAATCCGGAAGAAAACTGTCAGTTACCGATTTACAACATGTGTCATGGATACATACAGCATTATGTGTTTGATTATCCGGTTCCCTCGCCTCTCTGGATAATTTGTGGAAAACGGATGTGTGCGGCTGTGCGATGCCAGACTATACTGTTTGACTCTTTTGCTGTTCAATGTTGCAGAGGCCGGACGTCGAGTGATTCTCAGACAGTGCAGTCAATGTGGTCTTTGCAGAGCCTCGACCTGGATTGTGTCTACTCGTCCGTTGGCAACCGTGTAGAGCGATACGGCTCCTTAGGGAGCCGGAATGCTCAGCCCAGCAAAACCACGAATGACCAGTACGCCGCAGTGAACTGCCGTAAACGCAACCTTAGTTCCAGTGTATCACTTCCCGGAAGGTATGCATTGATTTCTTGGATTTTAGCAACTTGTATTGTGGCAACACTGGCCAACACCCAGATGCACTGCTTCTTCACACAGTGGAGTGTTGGCCAGTGTTGCCACAATACAAGTTGCTATAATGAAGCTCTGTGAAGCGTCGTTCCGAATTTATTCCATTTTGTCGTCGAAATTGGAACTTGTCCTGTGATTGCAGCTGAGCCGTATTGCTTTCCACGTAGATTAATTTGACATACAGGTATTAGGCATGAAAAAATTCTCTCCTGCAATGCGTCAAGTTACAATCAGTGCACACTTGTCTCCATGGAGGACCCAAAAGTTGTACTTGGTCCGCGTCAGCGATATTGTCGCTTATCTTTCAGCTTTGTTTATATGTCGCCAATGCTTACTTGGCAGCCCATTTCATACCAATTTTGGTTAGCAAGTTAGTTTGCTAGTACCTGAAAGGTCTAGCTAGAGTTCGAGTGGATTTCGAGAGCGACAGGTAGGTGATTCTGATTGATAGAGCCCGGCATCAAAATAGATTATCTTGTTATGCTGTGCAGGCAAGAGCAGCGCAAGCCACAAGAAAGTAATCGGCTACTCGGAATCAGCTCCATTTTGCTGAACGGCCGAGATCGCTCATCAAGCTGAGATCGCAGCTCCCTTACCTCCAGATCAACGCTCGGAGTATTCAGCGCGTCGTGGAGATTTGCAAGTACAACTCGTTCTGTACGCGTCGTCGTCGTTGAAAATAAAATTTTGCAAAGAACGGCGTCTGATTTGAACCACACAGGCTGTCGTGCTGCCCACGCGAAGTCCTATAGAGAAGGCGACCGTCACGATCGACTTCTCTTTAGAAAATAGCCAGGCAGCGGAGAGGAAGAGAGATGAGCTTGCAAAAGCAAGAGTCGATCCTGAGCAAAAATACTTGTCGCCAGCGCCTAGAGCAGCGACGAGGAGGACCGAAAAAAGTAGGAACCCTTCCTTGGACAATAAATTCCTCGCAGCTAGTTGTACTCCTATACCGTACCGTCCATCGTACCCAGTTTTATCACTTCAATTGCACGCGTTCATGACCAAAGTCTAAGTTCAAATTGTCGAAAGATAAGCGACAATATTGCTGACGCGGACCAAGTATTGGGGAGATGCTGGTCCTTGCTTTACGTGCAAATATAACTATGAAAAACGATGGAATCGAAATGCTAAAGTGAAGTGTCTTAGTTACATGTACTTCGTCCGCGTCAGCAATATTGTCGCTTATCTTTCGACAATTTGAACTTAGACTTTGGACATCAACGCGTGCACTTGAAGTGATAAAATTTGGTACGATGGACGGTACGGTAGAGAATGACAACTACCTATGAGGAATTTATTGTCCAAGGAAGGGTTCATACTTTTTTCGGTCCTCCTCATCGCCGCTCTCGGCGCTGGTGACAACTATTTTTGCTGGGGATTGACTCTCTTGCTTTTGCAAGCTCATCTCTCTTCCTCTCCGCTGCCTGGCCATTTTCTAAATAGAAATCGATTGTGACGGTCGCCTTCTCTATAGGACTTCGCGTGAGCAGTACGACAGCCTGTGTGGTTCAAATCAGACACCGTTCTTTGCAAGATTTTATTTTGAACGACGACGACGACGACGCATACAGTACTTGCAAATCTCCACGACGCACTGGATACTCCGAGCGTTGAGCTGGAGGTAAGGGAGCTGCGATCTCAGTGATTCTCAGCTTGACGAGCAATCCCTGAGGTGATTGATCTTGGCCGTTCAGCAAAATGGAGCTGAGTCCGAGTAGCCGATTACATGTACTTTCTTGTGGATTGCGCTGCTCTTGCCTGCACAGCATAATAAGATAATCTATTTTGATGCCGCGCTGTATCAATCAGAATCACCCACCCGTCGCTCTTGAAATCCACTCGAACTGTAGCTAGACCTTTCAGGTACTAGTAAATTAACTTACTAACCAAAATTTTGATGAAATGGGCTGCCGAGTTGGCTTTGGCGACATAATATACACAAAGCTGAAAGATAAGCGACAATATCGCTGACGCGGACCAAGTACCCGACCGTGATTGACCAGTTAGTGTTTAGTGTGTATTCCTCTCGATTCTCACGGTTGGTTCTGGCGATTGACTCCCGGCGTTCATTATCTTTCTTCATCAAATATTTGCTTAATTTTACTGTCATTGGCCGATGTTCTGTCTTCTTTGTTGTTGATCAGACATGAACGCAGGGACTCCGGACATTCTCCTTACGAAAAAACATACGCCTCCCATCATGATCTTCACAACACCTGGGATAAACCTCAGCACCGCACGCGAAGCCCCAATCGCCGTGCAAGGTGGGTTGCCCGACTATCGAAAAGATGTTTTACGAAAATGGCCCGTTTTCACAGGAGACGAGCTCACCGCAATTGTTGGCAACGAAATACAGATATCCAATCCAATTATCACCGTTAATTTGCTGATCGCAGTGTATGCCATACCAACTTTCTGGGAGTGAACAATTCGTGGTTAAAGTGCACCCAATGATCTCCGGAAACACGATACTTAATGAAGAAATTTTGCAGTTTGCCAAGCCACATGTTGACTGGCAATAGGCAAAGAGTGGTCCTGAATAAACTTTTCCACTGAAATCTGATTTCAATGTGCATCCTCTCGCACTGCACTGTTGGCTAAGGGTGAAGCAATTATACCGATTATTCGAGTACTCGCTCGATTTTCAAGGATACTCATACTCAAAATACATCAGAGTACTCCTTCAAGCATGGTACCTGCATTTACCACAGACATCTGTGCTTTCAGAGCAGCAATAGAAGATATTGGTGTGCAGGCTGTGTGGTGAACGTTTGTACATGAGTAGAGAGAGTCCAAATGACCTACCAACCAATAATTTAAAATACTTAAAGGATTGCCAATCGACTCAATCGGGGTTTTGTTTGTTCGTTTGTTTTGCTATATTTCACTTCACCAGAAGCACAGGCAAAATCTGCCTTTTCAATGGGAGTATTGCCACAGTTCTCTCAAAAAGATGATGGTGGTGATATAAGAAAAGGAGGAAGAGGAAAATACAATCATGAACAAGGCACAAAGAGAAGACGGAAACAAATCAATGAGGGATTGTACCGTAAATCTTTAAGGCACTTGGTGTGCGATTTTTAGGAGATAAAGAATACTCAAATACTATAATATGAGGCATGGGCAGCAAAAACCAGGGTTAGGTGATATTTGGCGAAAATGAGTTTTTGTTGGCTTTGAACTGTCCAGTAAATGAGTGATCTATGGGCCAAATTTGGAGCTCTGGTCACCTTCCAAGATGGTAAAAAGAACGCCCGAAATGATGGGTCACGGTCAACAAAAATGGTAAGCAAAAAAGGCAAAATGGGACGCAGTTACAGCTAGCTCTAATGGAGTGACTGAGAATAATTTAGCATATTTATAGGTCTTCAGGGAAGCACAGAGTACTCTAGTTGATATTGTACTAATTTATAGTAACATTGTTGCCTGCACTTGCTGCAATGTTACTTGAAAACTCAATCCCTGTCATGTGCAGGTCTGGTGTTGTATGCAGACTTGTCAGACAGAAAGAAGCCAAGCAACTGACGATTTACATTGCTGGGAAGAATCTGCAACTTAGTGCAAGACTAGAATATGGATGCTGGGCCAAGCCAGATACATCCACCAAGCATGTCTTGCTCTCCTACGCACAGCAGCTCGTAGATACATGCATTATACTGTGACAAATTTCATGCGCACCGCAATCGTGCATGTATACTTGCAACAATTTTATTCACAAAATATCTTGTATCAAGTAAGGTTTAGTTCATTCGGGGCTGTCTCCGTATCTCACCAAGTTAAGTAACTTATCTAGCTGCGAATAGTCGCCACGGAGTATTGAATCTCGGTCGTCACTCTCAGCGCTGCTGTCCGCGTCGCCACTTCGTGTCACGGAGCTCTCAAACTCATCGTCTGCGCTGCCTCCGCTGATGGCTTGTCATCTGAGCGAAACCTCTTCACTTTCACCTGATTCTTCTTGGGGGGGGGGGGGGGGACTATCACAGGCAGCGGAGTATCTCTGGAGGTCCAGCTGCCAAATATTCTAGTCGCTCGTTCTCCATCAAGAATTTGTGACGGGATCGTTCCGCCAAGAAATTATTTGTTCCGCTCTCTTTTGAGCGCATGATCTGCAGACGCTACCCAGAGCGCAAACGCCTCCATGGTGGCTGAAAACGCCTACCTGGACATCCCAAGTGCTTGGTGGATAAACTACAACGGCGATGACAACAAATTATAGCGAAGCCACCAAGAGGAGAGCATTTTCAAAGCGATATCGCAAGAAGTCTTTCCGCTTTGATCACGGTGACTAAAAAACGGCATCGGTTCGGTTTTTCGCAAATATTGGCATTTTGAAAAATCGCCAGGACCCCGGTTCTTGCTGCCGATGCCTCATATAATTATTCAAATGAAGAATATCAGAGTACTCGAACTCGGGATGTCAGTGCCAACTTTCACTCCTACTCTTGTCCCACATTCACCCCACCATAGAGAGAGAATGGAGTGTGGAGAGTGTCGAAATGTGGATAGTTTTAATTATTTTCAAGTGGGCGAGTCCATTGCAACTTCTGAGTGTTTCTGTGAAGGTATATACATTGCATGATGCGCAGCCTAGGTTTGAGATAATTATCGATTTCAAAAGTATTGTAGTTCGACCATCGACAAAATTATCATAACTTTATCTTCGCGAAGAACGTGTCTGCATCGAACGTCGGAGCTCACGCTTACTGCCGACTAGCTTGACACTTGACTGACTCACGACTGCATCTGGAGCACACGAAAGCCCACCGAATCTTCCGCTCGGCAAACCTGAAAGAAATCAACAGTGTAAGTTCGTATCTCTAGTGAAGGTTTTGGCTCGGAGAGCACTGCATAATGCAGTACTCCTGGAGCAGAAATGTAATTAACCTGCTCAAGCTCAACTGATGGGTGGGGGGGGGGGAATTCCCCAAAACACTGTGTATTGAGCAGGGAGTGGTGCTTTCGCGCAGGTTTGCCGAGTAGAAGGTTGGACGATATTCTCATGTGCTCCAGACCCAGTCGTGAGTGGGTCAAGTTTCAAATCAGTGGGCAGGAAACGCGAGCTCCGACGTTCGGAGCGTACACGTTCCTCGCCAATCACCGCCGATGTCGCAACATATTTAGCACTATCTTTGTGTACATTTGTATAATGCATGCGATACCGCTGGTGTCTGACAACCATCTTGTCTTAGCCCTGTATCTGGTAGCTGACATTACAAGTAGCTAGTACATGCATTATAATCTGCACTGGGTCAGAGGTCGCAAACTTCGCACCCGTTCCATGATGGCACCAGCTTTGTTTGCCTTTTCATGGGTGCATCTGGGTTGTGGGGTCTGATATGGCAAACATAAAGGGTGCACTGTAGTCCAGCAACTCCACTACTTTGGATGCTTTTCTTGGTTTGTTTAACATAAGTTCGTGTTGTTCTCTGTTATTTGTTTAGAGTTAGGCGGCATTCATCAAGCATGGGAACCTCCGGTGCAGGTCCGTGTCAGTCCCACCTAGCAATGTTCTCATGTTCTAGCAGTCAATTGGCTAAACATGATGAATGGAGGAATGGTTTCGCCAATGGTTTATCTGACGATTGGCATGCTGGGAAAGTCAGTTCAGGCAGTCATGGTCTGAACCCCGCCCAGCCTGGTGCTGAAGAAGACCTCGGCTACAACCATTCTTCAAATCCAGCCGTCACCAATAAGGACCCTGGTTATGTTAGGTACCGGAATACAAGGAGGGCCGAGCGGTCCAGACTTTACTCAGCAATGCATCTTGAACCCTCGCATGGCTATGCAACCGTGCCGCATCGTAAGAAGCTATCCACTGTGAGCGAGCGAACCTTGGAAGGCAATGGAAACTGCTCCGTCGCCACCGATGATTCTCCTAATTATGATGATCACAAGCAGAATTTCACTGAAGCCGAAGGCCGCAATTGGCAAGATATCGTGAGAAAGTCCAAATCTGAGAGTGTTCTTGATTCTGAGAATACCTACAACTTCCCTGCCAAGACATTTGATAAATGTTCCAATCTTGTCTGCCGCGGGAATAGCACAGAGTCTAAGGAAAAGGTTTCGGACACTGTCAAGGATGACCCAGACCAACAACCGCATGTGATGTTGACTGGCATGACTTCGGGAAGCGTAGGCACGAAAGGGTCAGCTCGTGACATCGACGCATGCCTTCCTAGTGCCATGAGCGCTGCTAGTGGGCAGGGTCATATCACATCAACTGAGGGTGCCTTGATCGGTGGCGTCTCAGCTGTAGCCCGCAGTTTCTCATTGAGCAGCATGGTGCAAAAGGCTTTACCAAGGTGGCTGTCACGCACCCGGAGTTCCACTTCTCCGCCGTCTTACAGCAACTCCGCTCACAGCAATGTTGGAAGCGCGTGGGATCTGAGCAAACTGACTAAAGATCGCAGCGTTGTCATGACGGGATCAGCCTCGATCCACACTGCAACAACAGTTCCAGGACATTTCGTGTCTGCTTTGTCTGACGACTCCTTCTCTACACACATAGCACAAGCTAATGAAGACCGGTATGTGCTAGACTTAAGAAGCGGAGACACGGCTCCGGATAAAGCTACCTGCCCAGCTGAGCATGCCGTCTGTAGTACACAAGTAAGCTATGTGACTCTCTGCGATTCCAACAAGAACCTGGTAGCTGATGCCAGCGAGCATCACCAGTACTCGTACTCAGCAGTTGGAGATGTTTGGGCGGAAATCAAACCTGGAGTAACACTCGAGGCGTGGAGAGATACGGGGGCAGGCGCCGTCTCACGAGGAACAGCTTATGTTGATCTCTCTAACATGGCCGCTCAGCGGGGTGTTGTCTTTGCAGGGAACAAGGATGGTGGGAATGAATGCATTCCCTGTCCTACTGCGGACATGGTTTAGTCATCTGAATCCAAAATTCAACCAAGAGTGAAGGACTTAATCACCATCACAAGCACAGATTCGGTGAACACATGACTCTCGTTGTTCCCAGATGTCACTGTATTTGTGCTGTTTCAGAGTGGCTTTGCCCCCGGCAGCGGAGCATGGGCCGACAAACATTGGCTTATCTAAACGAGGCTTGTAGATCGGAAGTTTGTTTGCCCAAGGGACGTCTAACATTCTCAGCGATGGAGAGACGGTCTAAAGAAGATCACCCACACGGGACTAGTGGAAGCAACAATGGCAGCAGCACCAACTTCAGCAAGAGCACAAACAGATGCACAAGCACCAGCACCAGCAGCAGTGGTATTACCAGCGACAACAGCAGCAGTAGGATTACAAGCAGCAGAACCAGCGGCAGCGGATGATAAATCGCATCGTACACCGGTGAACAAGTTTGGATTTAAAAAGTCATGTTGCTTAGGAATCAGTAAAGGGCTGAGTTTTGTCATAATATAATCACATGCCCTTTTTAGTTATGTATTTATCCCAAATAATATATTTTGGGATTTAGATTATTCAAATTTATGTTGCTGAGTTTACCAATACACTGCGATTTATAGCTATAGTCTGCGCAGGGAACGCCGCCTTGGTATGTACATGAGGTCGCACACACCCACGCACACACACACACACACACACACACGCACGCACACACACACACACACACACACACACACACACACACACACACACACACACACACACACACACACACACACATACACCCACACACACACACACACAAACACAGCCATACAAAGATGCACGAAGAAACACACGCACGTGTACATATCCACATGTGCAAACACACAAACCGCACATCCTCACCTACTATGCACATACCCACTGGCATTTGCTTATCCATGTGCACATATCAACCTACTCTCAACTTCCATTTTCATTTGGAGAACACATCTTTGGTCCGTATTATAGTCTGTGCCAAGCAGTCACGTATCACCTTTCTACGCTTCCTTGCTAGACTCATTCTGGAACTGTTTGTAAAATTAATACTGATAGCTTGTCCTTTCTGTTACACCCAACATCGGTTGTGTTTACGCACGATTCAATCTGAGCGCAATATTTTGCTCGTGACAAACGATGATCTTGAATAAAACTAGATAGTGTTGGCGACTTCGGCGAAGATTTAACGGGAAAGGGTTTTCATCCCCACATCGGAGCTAGCGTCAAGTGTCGAGTCAACTCGCCGGAAAAGCGCTAGCTCCTGTGTGGGGAGCAACCATCTTTCCAATTGAATAAGAACTTCCAGTAGTTTGTTGGGGTATATTGTATGGCTGTGCTACATAGGGACTGGGAAGAGAGGTATGGCGAAAGGTGGGCGAAAGGTTAGGTTTAACGAATAACAGACGAAGTATTGACGAGTCCAGACACTGCACAACCAATAGAAAGTACGACTGGCCCTGGAAAGCAGCTGACAAGGAGTGCTGTCAACAGCCATCCAGCGACATCACGTAAATCACATCTCAAGTCAGAGAGGTGATGTCATCACCTCTCTGACTTGCAACGTTATTTACATGTACATGCACATAACATCCCAAAAGTTGGCTTGTGGGTGGGGCCGCCGGGGGGGGGGGGGAGTTGATGCACCAAATAACCAAATACGGCAAGAAAATAATAATTATGCTGGTGACGTTTCCCATTCCAAGCCATACTTATGTGATAGTGTTAATATGCTGGTGATGTTTGGATGCTGATGATCCGATGATGAATGCTAGATTGCACGGACGATTTATATTTTGCATTTCAATAGTGAACATTGTGCTATGGCTCTCCTATGTTAAATGTCCCGTACAAGAGGCTTTAGGAGAGACGAATTTAAAGAAGTGTTAGCAGAGTTTACACGTTCAAACTCTGCTAACACTTCTTTAAATTCGTTAAATTCGTTAAATTCATCTGTCTTAAAACATCTTGTACCGGAAACTTAACATAACGAGCCAACTGTGTTGAGACACAAAAAAACACTGCAGGAGGTTTGCTTTGGCCAGGCAACAACCAACATTAGGGAGGTTTCGCTCTACGGAATTACGTATGAAAATAACGTAGGAACTGCACGGAATTTTCATACGTAAAAATCAGAGCTGTTCGGTTTCGCTCTACGTGATTTCTCCACGACTGCTAAACATGCGTTGTTGCTTTTGAGACGCGTTGGCTGCATGCGCCCACCGCATGCACCATGAACCGAAACCGCATTTTCCATTTTATTTTGCACGTGGTGTACGGTGTGTGTACCTTGTGTTTCGCGCGGCTTGAATGTTGCCATGGACAAATGCGGAAAATGCGAAAAATATTTCAAAAAGTCCTACGGAGGACCCAACGTAGGAAAGTGCTTTCCTACGGAAATCCGTAGAGAGATTTACGTATGAAAGTTGCCCTCGCTCCCCGGCGCGTACGACATACGGATTTTCATACGTAATTACGTAGAGCGAAACCTCCCTATTGTCTACACATGCACATAAGTTGTGCCAAAAAGTGTGCTGAGGATTACCGAAAGAAAATAATTGAGCATTTTCCGAGCATTTTCGGCAAGGTTTGGGAGCATTTTCGGCAAGGTTTACGATTATTTCCCATTTTCGGCAAAGTTTCGGGCGTATAACGCCGGGCCCTACTTGGGAGGACTTCAGAGTAATTCACAGCCAAATAGAATCGGGGCGGTTTTGGTGATGGTACCGAATACGTAGCTCTAGCAACTTTCAAGGTTCGCTAGGCAAGCTAAACTCATAATCATTGGTGGTCCTGGTGGGTGATTCCTACGGAAACACAGCTACACGATCAATGGTTTCATTACATAGTTGCCCAAGGAGAGCCACGTATGTTCCATAATCATGCTTATGAGAGAGAGGGGGGGGGGGGGTGATAGCACTACATGATTATGGATCACTGGTTCGGAGCACAGATTTAACGGCCTTTCCAAACTCAACGTAATAATCATACCAAGAGTACATAAACTTATTTATGTACTCTTGATTAAACTAATAAGGGGAGCATTGTGTAGAGATCAGGGGATTGTGCATTTTTGTGAGCGTCCCAGGTGGATGAACAACAACCACTGCCCACTGGCTTGCTGAATAAGGCTATGATGACTATTCCTAGCAGTCTGTTCAACTCTGCCACCATTCCAAAGCAGGACATTCCGATTGCAGCCCACACAAAAGTAATGGTCAATGGTCTCCCATATAAAACGAAAATTAGAAATAACCGCAATCAATAAGACAAGCTGAGTGTTGTACGAAAACTTGTTTGAATCCTTATTTTTCTCTACACTATTTCTTCACATTTTCATCGTTTTATTGCACATTTTCTCCACCATTATACATTGCATGAATAAAGTGGACACAAATATCGATTCAGCTTGTCTTATTGATTGCGGCTAATTATTGTCTCCTCGCCGTTTGTTTAAATAAGAAATAATTTGATTCAAAGCCGGAGCAGAGCGGCGTGACAGCCCGTCCTAGCATTAATCAGTGGATACGCAGCGCCCGTTGGAAAGTTACTTCGAAGTAGCCTTTTAGGAGCATCCACTTTTGCCAAAATTTTACCCACACGTTTCACTTTCTTTGCTGTTTCTTGCGATCATCGACCTGTGATGGTGAAGACTGACCGTCAAGATAAATGAACCAGAGAGACGACTCAGATTGGTCGCCAAGACCGAAGTTCATCCTCTGAACGCGATTTGTGCTAGCTGCAAGAGCAGCGGGACGGATTATACGGTCCCTGCGTCCCTCGGATGGATTATGGACCGTGTACTGAACTAACTCTATACTTGAAACGGGATCCCAGCGCTGCTTTCGACTCCCGAGTTTGATCTCTGCCGCCAAAAACAGTATCGTGGCGACATACAGGGTCTAGGGCTGCCTGGATGTGTGCCGTACACACCAGGAAAATGCCGAAAGCGGTCAGACCGCGCAGAAAGTGCTGCCGCATAGCCGGTCTGCACATATGCTGCACGAAGTTTCACGCAGAGCGGTCACCAAAGCCTCAGGTAAAGGGTAGCTACAGTACATATACACTGCACACTTGCACTGTATGTAGTGTATAGTAAAAAGACCACGATAAACATGCGTGATGACAGCTTGCGTGCTTCGTGGGCTTCTCGCTCCATATTTGGTCAAAACAGATTGGCTGCAAGCTAGCTGCAGGATTATGCGTGGTACGTAATACGTGCATATAATTTATTCATGCATGGTGTATGCCGAGTCCGATCCTCGTAGCTTCGGGTACTCAATAATAACGACGTTACGTGCCCGGCGGTACACATTCGTATTACCCATAATAGGGACATTTTAATGCATCGTACATGCATGGTGGTACATTTTCAAGAGAGGTATGATCCGTTGATGTTGAAGCTTCATTCAGTAGGCCAAAGGCAAAGGCAGAAAGTTGAAATTTCGCGAACTGCCTTCAGGATATGTACACGTGCCTATAAGAGGTCCTTTGAGGAGAGCAAGAGAGAGAGAGAGAGAGAGAGAGAGAGAGAGAGAGAGAGAGAGAGAGACCGAGAGAAAGAGAGAGTCTAGTTTTCGAATGGGAGGGTAGCTGATAGCTGGCTTGCTGCTGCTCTTGCGGATAGCATGTTGAGGTGCTGTCTTTAACCTTTCTTGGATCGCATGTAACCACACCTGCCTAGGGGCATCTCAGGTAAGCACACTGTTATGAACGACTAGCATGTCGGCTGCGGGCGACGTAGGGAGCCCAGAATGAGTATGTGTGTACAAACAAAAACGACAATCCACTGCTACACACAGCAGAGTTACAAACGACCACTCTACGGCTGTGTTTACATGAGAAATTTCAACCCGGGTCGAGTTCAGCCCGGGTTGAAAGTCTGTACGATAAACAAAAGAGGTGAGCGTTTACATGAAGACAGTTGACCCGGGTCAAATACTGATATGCCGCCAAAAGTCCGCTTCTACAGTCCTGTATGGTCACGTGAATCCGTTCGCGCGAAATTTGCATCTGCAGTGCCATTCAAACCTGGTGCGAGGTACGCACAGAAGCGCATTTGTACGATTTTTTTGGCCCGGGTTGATTTCAACCTGGGTCAAGCGCAATGCGTCATGTAAACGCGCCATTCATTTTATGTACATGGCGGGTTGAAATCTGACCCGGGGCGAACTCAACCCGGGTTGAAATGCTTCATGTAAACACCGCCTATGTGTTCAAGTCTTTGGCTATTCACCTATCGCACCATGTACTATTAACACAGACCAATACTGGACAGCAAGTAGAGTAGAAAGGGAAACAAGGAAAGGAACAAAGCATAGGGGATGTAGGGGCGACGTGCCGATGTGCTGGGAGCAACTCTCTGTTTTGCTTTGTTTTATGATGGATGATGCAAATGTACCCTCCCTTTAATAGTGCCCCATCTGTGATGGACATTGAAAAAGATAATGCCCCGGGGGCAATAATCGCACCAGTAGGGTATTACGTTTGCATATGCATTGGTTACTATGATCGTGCTGGCTCCATCCCTTGTCTCCTCAGCTATCACCCCCCCCCCCCCCCCGGCACACACACACAACACCCCTCCCTCTCGGTGTGTCTGCCCGGTGTTGACTCGGAGACCCACGGTTGGACGAACTTCCCAGGCTTCACCACCACTGGCGTTTCTGTGCTGCCTTCTTTATACAGACGCATGTGCATTTTAAACTCGGAGGGAGTTGTGGTTGCTCGTGAGAGTGCTCAATACACCAAGGTGCAGAGCCTAGTACACACACTTGAGAGGGACGAAAAGCGTTTCTTCTGTAACTCTGAGTTTCACGGTTTTAACCGATCATCAGACAGCAACTTGACTACAATTAGGGATCTCAGCGCGTGAACTGCGCAGCCAGTCTGCGCAGGTGAGATTTTCGATCCCAAACGCGTCCAGTGCAGAAATCGTGGAAAAGAACATTTTTTTCGAAATAAATCAAGTTGAAGAAGACAGTAGAAATGGCTGAATATTGCGTCCAGGAAAGCACGTTCTACGGCCATCTCCAAGCTACCTATCTCCCAGACACTCTCTCGGAGGAACTATGGAGGGTCAAAGAGCACAATCTTTCACTCTTGGACGCAGCGTGAACACCTCTTCTACTGAGCGCGATGTCTTCTCTCCGAGTGATAATGGCGGCGATGTTCGCGATGGCTGATGCACTGAAAATCGAAGTTAGGACAATCTAACCGGAGAAAACGTCTGAATTTTTGATTGAATCCTCTCTGAAGTGGGTTCTTGCCACATGGAAAATTATAGGAAAATCGACCGGGGCAATATCGCCTTGGCCACGCTGTCCTTCGGCGGGAATTACAAAGTATGTTCGGACAACGATGAAGATGACGATTCCGCTAGTGTCCACCGCGTCCCCTAGTGTCGAATATCGACCGTCGCCATTTTTCTGCTGTGGCCGCGAGCTGCACTCAAAACTCGATGACGCAACGTATGCGCAAACACCCTGCGCACTGCATGCACTGAGATCCCTACTACAATTTTCAGAATTCAAATAAATATTAAAAAAACAAAAAACAAAGAAAGGAAAAGGACAATAAGGATACGAGTTAAGAGTAACTCTCCATCACTGTAACTGGATACTATATACAGTCAGAAAGAATAACTAGGCACACAACTAACATCCGAGTTTCAAAAAACAAAGAAGATAAGATTGCATTGTATATGTATATATTCACATGTCTGAAGTTTCGTGGCTTCCAATCAAAAAGAAGAAATAGACCATTAATTTTTGGCTGCATTTTCTCGTCGCAGTTGTCTGTCTGGCATGGATATCTTTTCCAGAGAACCATAATTTGTAAAGATCCGCAATGATATAGCTGAGCTATATACATTTTCAGTTCTGTTGAACTCCCTCAAACTTGATTTTGATTTTGCCTCGTTATTGATTCTGTGGATTGAACGATCATCCAAGTACTATGATTATGCAGGTGAAGATTCCAAGGCGGCATACTAGAGAGGTTGCGCACACCGAAAATTCGTAAGATTTCGACCGTCCGGGTTCAAGTAACGAAAGCTGCTACGAAGATCCGTCCAAACACGACCGAAACAGAGCAGATATACGAAAATACTTTTCGTAACGTGGAGTACTAAAATACTGATATTTTACCACTCCCTGTCTTGACTCTCCCCTCCCGATCGCTCGCCGCTTCGACGTACTACGAAAAAGTTTGCACGTTGTGCGCAAAACCACGATTTACGATTATTCAAATAATCTACGTGGAGATAAAAGTTTAATGATAGCTATGAAAAGTATGAATGCCGCAGACATCACCACGCAACATGACAATTTGTTCAAGGTTTTAGATTGTGTGTTTCCAGAATCGATTTTCAAGCTCCGATCATCAGTGGAAATACGGACCTAAAGTGTTCAAGGGAAAAACAAGTTTCCACTATTTCCACCGATGATTGGAGCTTGAAAATCAATTCAATCTAAAACCTTGAACAAATTGTCATGTTGCGTGGTGATGTCTGCGGCATTCATACTTTTCATAGCTATTATTACGATTATTCGTTCGCTTTTTTTTCATTAAAAATATTCGTTACGGCGTTACGAATTTTCGTTGTGCGCAACCTCTCTACTAGCAGTATATTTATAGTATCATATTTCCCCGAATGTAAGTCGCACCGTTTTACACAAAAATTCAAGGATAAAAGGGGAAGAAAAAGAGAAGAAAACACATGAGAACGAGTTATGCAGCAACTATCCATGACTGTAACAAGATGACAAAGTGTCAGAACATGCAATAACAGGTCACAAAACCGACAGGCGCACTGAGACATTTAGTGACCTGAGATCTAGCTCTAACACATGTCTAGTGCGCACACCAACAGTCTTCCAACATGGAAGGTTCATGGTTACGTAGGACCGAAGGGGGGAAGGCGAGTGCAGCGAAAATGTGCACATGCTAAGACCGAAGGGGGAAGGCGAGTGCAGCGAAAATGTGCACAAGCTAAGACCCACGGCAACAAAGAATCCCGACTGTTACAGGACGCTGACAATACCAGTTCTCATGTGTTTTCTTCTCTTTTGTACATTTAATACTTGCTGAGTACCCGATTAAAAAAGGGGGTGTGACTTACAATCGAGCATGACTCGATACTGAAGTCAATGTATCAACTCAATATTGCTCAAACCTGAAAATGGGGGTGCGACTTATAACCGAGTGCGACTTATACAGTAATCGGGAAAATACGATAGGTATAGTAGTGGCTATAGGTAACCATGGAAACATGGTGTGGCCGAGTCGGTTGCTATGCACCGGGTGCTAACCCATTTGTTAGAATCAAGTATCAAATAGATGGCTTCACCCTACCCGGGTTAGTATCACATGGCCTTTCATGGCACCTGTTTTTCAACCCATTTGACAAATCAAATCACCTGCATTTTCATAATTATATCCTGCATCGCATCGTTCATTCCCACACACTCGCCAATCAAATCAATGGTGTCTTTATTAACTATTAAAGATCAATATCATCATTGCCACTGCGTTCGTACGCAGAAACTCAATACATCTCTATCAAAATTAATGTTTGCTTTGGGTTTCATTAAGGTGGAGCAGCTGACGTGGTGGTGGTGGGGAAAGCGGTTTAGTAGGAGATGGCAAATTGGCTGCAGTGAAGCGTGCAATTCCGGCCATCACAAGATATACGTCGTCCAGCACGCTGCTTGCCGAGAGCGAATGCTACTTGGCTACGTATAGTTTCCTGGCATGTAAAGAAAAATTGCGAAAATTGTTATTTGCGTGTGTTGAGCCCCCCCCCCCCCCCTCCCTCCTCAAATGTCATCAGATCATGCCTTAAGGCGCTGTTCTCAACTGCTTAATGGCCTTGGCGGTTTTTTGTTTCTGTGCAGAGCTTCAAAAGACCTCGCAGGCGCATGCAATATGAGGACTATCAGGGTGACAGTGGGAGTGCTTTTGCAAGCTCTTCACATTCTAGCTGTGGCAGCGAGAGGTACTCCTCCAACACAAGCAGGTACTTCAATGAGATACAGATTGCCTGATTGTGCTTAAGATGACTTCAGACATTGGTGCTACTGACCTGCGCTTCATGCACTCTACAGTCAGAAAATGTTGGTCGGTCAACAATTTCATCCAACTACATGTATAGAGAAAGTGGGTTCGTCCGATTTTAAATTTAGTCCATGGACCATAAGAGTGCATTGAATAGCTGGAAAATCGACATTCGTCCAGCATTTAACCCTCTGACTACCAGCCATTCAAATACCAATCCACGTGGATCGATGCAATAGGCAATCACTAAATATTTCATCTCACGCTCAAATATTTTCGGATTATTACAAATGAGGGCTCTACGTCTTCAGAAAGACCTTGACTATCGACTGCAACTATCGCTTTCACTCCTTGGTGCATATTTGGCGCACAACGAAGTATTTTTGTAGACTGTGAATTGACTCATGGCCAGCAATCGAGGACATCTGAGAGTTGTAATTTTTGTACTCCTCCGAGGTGAGATTTTTGGCGTGCTGGGCCAAGCACAAGGAAGCCATCTGCAAAAAAACTGCAGAAAATGGTTGTTGTTTGATCCTTTGGTGTAATCTTTGTTTCTAGTCGAAGCTAGTTGCTGTTTGGAGCAGAAACGCTGAAATTGACTATTTTCTGCATGTACTCATACATGTACTCATCTACTCATCTACTCATGCGATTGCTGGCTATGCAATTGCGATAATAATGGGTAGTGAAAGGGAGAGCATGTCTGAGAAAACAAGAACATATGTGCAAGTAAGTCTCTCAGATTTCGCTCAAATTTTGCAGGTAGGTTTGCTTTGGGGTGTAGATCGACATTCCAAAGCCCGCGCAAAATCTTTTGAAGGTGTAAATATAGAGATAACACTGTGGTAAATCGACTGCTTGTATTGTTACAATAGTTCTGACGATATTAGTTATTTGATTGTATTCTTACTTTGTAGCTGCGTCCAGGCTCGTTGGAATTCTCATCACGGACTCCATTCTAGTTTCGAAGAGATATCTATTCTTGTGCATTTGTTCTCAAACTAATTCTTCGTAGTATTTGCAGTACGTAGTCTCGCGCTCTTTGATTTGTTTGACTCGCGCGTGACTTTCCTTTCTTTTCTTTTTTTGTCATGTATGACGTATAGGTATGACGTGAGTGTGTACGCACTCTGTTTATGACAACGTGACTGCATGCTCACGTGGAACTACAGTCAGTAGGCTAGTGCATTTAAGCGACTGCAGCGATCCGATCTTCTTGCTGCAGCGCTGTTTCTTCTTCTTCTTCACTTGTGTCTTTTCTTTGGTCGCTGCACTAGTTTGTGATTACCATGATTACGCGTCAATGGACGACATGGTCGCCATTTTGTGCATGTCCTTTTCTTGATGGATCTTGGATCTCGTGGAAAAAGAACAGTTTTCTTTTCTCCCAACTTTACCACTATTTCAATATTCCAACTCTCTTGATTCCTGGTTGATAGTTGTGGCTCAGTGCATGTGCGAGTGTGCTGGAGTGCTAGCTGGAAGAGATAGAGAGCATAGTGGTGGAGTAACAACGGGACCATGAAATTGGCATACCGCTCAATATTGGCCCAATATTGGCATGATTCATGGGTCTACAAACGAGCCACGGCACAGCGTGCAAGAACAAGCTACGAACAAAACTCCATCAAGCCAACATTACCTCACCTTAGGAAAGTTGTTGGGGCAGCACCACTTAGCCACGCCAGCATCCCAGAAGACAGTCTACTCTAGTGATCCGTCGAAGGCGCGTTCCGAAGCTAAGTTGTCATCGGCACTGGATACACTAAACAGCCACCTTGGCCCTTGGCATGCAGATAAATACCGACAAAACCGTTGTCATGCAAATCCATCCCAAGCGTGCCACAGGGAGTCAGCAACAACAACAAAGGCAACAACTGCAAATCACCTTGTCAAATGTTACGCTAGGGGAAGTGGAAAGCACGAGATGCCTAGGAGTCGTTGTTGACAATAAGCTGTCCTTTGACCAACACATTTACAATGTCGTCCCGAAAGCCTCACGGAAGATTGGTGTACTGCGCCGATCTTTCTGCCAGATGAACATGTTTGCCCGCCGTACTTTCATTGTCGGTGTTATCCAGCCTGATCTAGAATATGCTCTCCCTGTATACCTTTTGTTTATATCCGCTAAAAATAGAAACAAGGTAGCCTCACTCCATCGGCGCGCTGTACGAGTTGCTTGTGGCGCATCACCCCAAGCTAATATCACGCCACTTCTTCACCACCTCAATGTTTCCTCTTTCCAATATCGATCAGTATTTTTGTTCCTTGTACGTCTACCCGAACTACTCGCGGCTCAACAACTCATAACATGAGTATGAATCACTATAGATTTATGTCTGGCTTTCTGTCCTTTTCAAGTAAATCGGCTCTTGTTTGGAATTATTTACCAGACGACCTGAAGTCCTGCACTACTATCGCAGATTTCCGCGTCAAATTGGCTATTTGGCTAAAAGACAGCTTAACTCTTAATCATTGTTGTGATTTGCTTTCAAGCAATGTGCATAATCAGTAAATTAATTGATGTTGCTGTTTTTGGTTTTTTTTTTTTTTGGTTTCCCGTTCTCGGTGCCTTCTATTTGGTACTTTTTGTAGTTGTAGTTCTGTACTGTTGAGCTATCCGAATTCAAATAAACACTATAAAAAAAAGACGAGGGCAATCATCCCTTGACGCCACAAATGATCGTCTTGAAAATAGCCAAATTACAAGTGCTGATAAAACAGCGAGCTATGTCCTCAATTAGCAAACACTATACACCGGCAGATAGTAGAACGCCTCTTCTAGCACTGAGGACATGTCCCCATCATCCTTTTTGGGCTTTCTTGAAATAAACAATTTAGAATTTTTCCACTCGACCATTCTGAAATACGTCCAAACTCATACCTGCGCAGGAAAGCTCGCCCCCTCCGCGACGTCTAGTCAGCAATTTCTACTCCAACACCTCTCCCAACGCTGCAGAACAAAGTGTGATGTAGATTCTGACTAGGAAAAGCAACGGTGATCACTTGTCCCTCCAAACAACAAGCTTCTCCTTGCGCCACCGACATTTTTCGGTGCAACAGTTGATACAAAAGTGACTGAATTTTGCGTGTAGTTTTTTGGATTTTACTGCAAGAGGAATGATGAAATCTGCTGCCTCAAGAACTCTTCTAAGGTGTGGCAATGTTGGAGTTTTGTTTGTAGCTTGTTCTTGTACGCTGTACCGTGGCTCATTTGTAGACCCATAAATCGTGTCAATATTGGGCCAATATTGAGAGGTATGCCAATTTCATGGTTCCCTTCAAAAGATTTTGCGCGGGCTTTGGAATGTCGATCTACACCCCAAAGCTAACCTACTTGCAAAATTTGAGCGAAATCTGAGAGATCGACTTGCACATATGTTCTGGTTTTCTCAGACATGCTCTCCTAATATAGTCCAAAAGACCCTTGGACGAAAAGATGAAATTAAACTCCAGACGCATATTTCTACTTCTATAGTAAAAGCATTTAAGTTTGGCACACTTTCTACATGTGCCCAACAGCTCCTACTGCGGTTGATCCCGTTTCATCTTCTAACCTGCACGAGAGTAGCATTGTGCGTTGTGAATGCTGGTAACCAAAGTAAATTGTGGCTGTGTGCTCTGTGTGTGTATGTGTGTGTTTTTTTGCGGGCGTGCATCTTGCTCCCGCTTGAATAGCATCACCAGCACCACCTGCAGTAACGAGCAACGAGACAGCGTTGTCAAATTCATCTGCTGCCGAATTGCCCAGCACAACTTACAGTGTAATCGTGGGGGAAATGAGCATAGCTCAACCGCCAATTGTGTACCAGAGGCGACGCTTGCCAGTAGTATTCACTGCGCAAGATGAGAAGAACCACAGCACCAATGGACGTAGGACACCCACCTCGACATTTCCAACTCCTGCCAGTGCCACCAGCCAATACGAGGAGATGGAGACAGGTATGTACAGTTCTCCAGTCGGGTTTTGTAAGGGGAATGTTGTTTGTATCCGATCTGAAGGTTCCAAACAAACGGTTCTGGGACTAAGATGAAGAATCAAGGCTTTAAGAAAATTAATTTGAGAGGACAATAAGTTTACAAGCTCATCATTACCCTGCTTATAATCATTAATGTTGGGAAAAAACGGACAACCTGTAAACTTATGGTTCTAGTTTTTTTAGTGTTTTTCAATAAAAGAAAAGTGAGAGGCACATCACACAGAGCGATAGATGGCACATCACACAGAGGGATAGAAGGCCTATCATACAGAGGGATTGGCGGCCCATCACATGGAGGGATAGACGGCCCATCGCACAGAAGGATAGAAAACACAAGGACATGGTGTACGTTTGGTCATACTAGTTTTCTTCACAAGGAATCTAACTTACTACCAAAACAGTGGAACAATCAGCTTAGTCGTGGTCCATCTTTTCCATCTGTGTAAGGTCCTGATGGTATGTAGGCCTCCCAGCTATCTGTTGTGACGCGATAAGGAGAAGAGTGTTATGATTCCAGCTTGCATTTGCCACGATTTTAGTCATTTTGGGTAAGCAGCAGGTATCAGCATGTTGAGTAGTGAGGGAGGGGAACTCGTGGGTCATAGCAGATTAGGTAAGGGAATATTCAGCCTTCGACTCAGTTAGGCTGAACTGTCAGCATCCCTTGAAAGCACCAGCTCCAGAGTTTGAAGCAGCCGTATTCTTGCACAATAGGATTAGCACATCTACCACTTCACATGTACTTCATGCATGCTGTTAGTTTGCAGTACAGTAATGGCGTGGCGTACCGTCACCTTTCACCTCTTCTCCTTGTGTTAGCACTTAGCACACCTGTTTCCTCAAAACGCGGAATTGCGTTTTTTGTGTTCACAATTGTGCTCTATAAATTCTGCTGCTAAATATATCTACCCATTCGATTAGTATTCTTAACCTTCACTGATGAGACTTTATTGAACTCAACAGAGCTGCGTATGAGGCATTGTATCTGTCAGTATCCACAGCGTGGCGTGATGTTGCTGGTTTGAATGAGCGCATGTGGTGGAGGAGGAATCCCTTCCTTCCTAATCATTGGTTGGAAATCAAATAAATGTCGGTGTCTGATATACCTTCAACTTCTTCTGCTCTGTTCTCGCTGGCCAATGAAATCGGCGGCTGAGGTTTGGTCAAGGCAACATGTGAGATACGTTGTTGAGTGTTGCATCATGAGAGAGAAACGCATTTTCATTGCTACAAACGGCGGTCCAATGTTTCAACTCGACGCACACGCGAAAAATGTTCTTATACAGTAACATTGGGATGTCCTGGACAACTGCCCCCCCCCCCCCCCTCCTCTCTCTCTCTTATCTCTTTCTGTCTGTCTACCCCACTATTTTTCTTCTTCACAACCAATGGAGTGCGAAACCAGGATTGGTGGCAATGCTCTTGGGCAAGTTCAACATCCATTTGGATTCATTATACTTCTTTTTTCCCATTGATTGTTTCAGGTTCATTGATGGGTCGCACTCCTATGTGGATTGCGGTTGGTGCCGGTGGACTCTTTGTAGCACTAGCAATCATTGTCTTCATACTCCTGCGCCGCAAGCCTTTCCCTAACATTGAGTTTGAGCATAAATCCCAGTGCGATAACAACGGCACTGCACAACACGCCGCGCTCCAGAAGGACTCTCTATCAAGGTGAGGAGGTGTCATCAGACCATGCGATATATGTTTAAAAATCTTTTCCTGACGTGAATTTGTGAAATGCAGTAGTAATTGGGGGTGAGCCAGTGTTGCTGACAACGCATTTATGAAATGAGCCGCAATCAGCGAAAACGACCCTTAGAGGTTTCGTAATTTTTTCAAGAAAAAGGTCAATTTGTGACGTTCAACGATATTTTGATCGCGCTGCGAACAGCGCGACGAGTTCTTCTTGAACTCCTTGCTTGAATTTATTTGAATTTAGTTACTACGGTTGAAGTGGTGTCGAGTGGCGACTCGAGTGTTCCTTGATCTTGTTGCGATGCCTGCAGACGCCAGAGCTATTCACAGAGCACACGCGGCAGTCATGGTGTACAGCTAGCTCGAGCCTGGTGGGGAGTGGATGCTGAAGTAGCCGCTGAAGTTCAGAGTGAGGAAGAGACGTTCTTTGGTTCTGACATCGATGTCAACAGCAAGGCCGAATCGCAGCCGTCATCGCCTGCTGCGTTGCGGCTCAAGGTGGTCGATGACTCGTCAGAGTCGTAAGATGAGGAGTCATCACCTGAAATAAATTCTGAGTCTGGGGCTAGTGACAGCAGCGACGTCGTGTCGTCAGCTGCGGAGGAAGAAATGGAAGACATTGCGGAATGACTCCACGCAGGATGCAGCTGCAAAATAATAAGTCGATCATGTCTCCGCACTCTTCAGCTATTCTTTGTCATTCTAGCTGCTTACTGCACTATTTCAAAGGTATTCAAGCTGCCTACCCACCTTAGAATGCTGAATATTTATTGTACACATGCATCGTATACATACAGTGCACCAATTTGGAGTACACCTTGTATATTGGTGTATACACCCGCTTTGAATCGGAATATTGAACTTTGTCTTGGCTGAGGTCCTTCAGTAGATGGGTTTCAACAAATTTCTAACCAAAAAGGAATTTTGAAAAATTTCACCCTAAGGGCTGTTTTCGCTGGTTGAGGCCCAAATATTGTCAACAATAACATACAAAAAGGAGCAAAAATTAAAGTTCCATAACGTTTTCTCGTGACTTTCATCAGTGGAACGCGGTCACACAAAATGTAGTAAGTACAACAAACACTAAAATGTATATAGCTAACATGTTTTGAGTCAGAATAGGAATACAGCAGCCAGTGATTACAAAAAGCGAAGTTTACACATTTCCCGTTTGTGATTATTGGATATGAGAAAGGAAATGAATGTGATAAATGTGTGGATGAACTTGATGGTGTGTGCGTGTGGCTGCTGCCTGCTGTGTTCCTGTTCCACCTGAAACCATATTTGCTGCAGTATCTACGTTTGTGCTATTACTTTCAGCAAGAGTGCATAAACAAAAGTATGCAACTGTGGTTATGGCCCTGTGCGCGGCGCGCTGCCTTCATTACGTAACTTGCCTTCATCACGCTCTGAAAGCATGCATTCAAACTCACAATTACATTTTTACTTAGGGCGCTCAGTACGAAATAGGGCTTTCACCTGCAGGATAACACAGTGAAACAATTTGGTAGAATGTGTGTGTCTGTGAGTTGTATCGAGGGAATGCATGCAGCGCAGGGCGATAGTGCGGGTTCGTACTCAGGGCATGAATTGAAACAAATTGATAGAAAAATGAAATAAGGTAGTGTCATAGCATGATGCGAGAGAGCCCTCGCTATGCTTCTTTGCCTAGGTCATCATCATGCATGATATTCGAGTTGATGGAAACTGTTTTGCAATACAATGATGTAGCCAGTGATTGAATTGAGAAAATATGTGCATCCGTTCGAATAACCTGCAAGCTGACGTCGACATAAAAGCATAGCGAGGGCTCTGAGCTTTCAAGCTCTCTTGTTCAGGATTATGCAAAGGCTAACACCTTTCGGTGAGATCTCCTATTTGCATATGCTCTAGGGACATAGTAAAGAAGAGGAGAGGAAGTATGCAAATTCTGTGTAAAATGTTGGATTTGAAAAATGGCTACCGGCTGCAGTTTGCAATAAATTCTCCATCTGAACTCGAGGAAATTCAAACTCAGATGGTGGGCTACGGAAAAAAATGTTTTGAATGTCTGAGTGAAAATATCTGGTTTAGTTTGTGGGCTCGATCGCATAACTTGTGCCCATATTTTTCCATGTTACAGTTCCCCTTTACCTCAAAGCGAAGAAGCTAGGGAAACTGTCACCAATAACATGGCAATAACAGTACACGACACTGACCAACGGTACTCACTTTCTATAATTAACAGCCAATTAGCTCTAGCACATCTTGGATGCGTACTCCAACAGCCTTCCAACTTGGAAGGTTCTAAGTTATAGGAATAACAGAAGGAGGGGAAGGAGAGCGAAACCAAGTTAAGCACGAGCGGAAAGTCTCAGCTGCGAAGGATGTTCGTACAACGTGCAAACTCATGTTTATTGTATCGGTTCCAAGGATATTTACTCGCATACAATAACCTTGGACACACGCGTGCAACTGGACTCCCTCGATTTAGGCTAAGGCATGTGGAGAGTCCATAAATACAAATACAACATACAAACGTTTTGGAGACAGCAGTTTTAATTTAGCTACAAAGACAACTGATTGCACCATGGATGGTTCCACGCCAGGTGCTCTAATAGTTGACGGTTCTGATCGCAACACGAGTGTAGGAGGCACCACTGGCAAAGGAACGTTCCTCGGCCTGTCACACCCACTGTGCTGAGGAGCTGATGTAGACATGGGTGCAGTCGAAACTGTTAGAGCACCTGGCGTGGAAACATCCATGGTGGATGTGGCAGATACACAGTTAACATACAATGGTCTGATACCAACGGCCGGCTCATCACAGAAAACCTCGGGACCAGTGTCTACCAGCTCCATGTGTTTACGACTGCTTCGTACAGCTGTGGACTACACGGTTTTCTTCAGTGGTGGTGGCGCGCGGGCTACGGGGCCGGTTGGAGTAGGTAACCGGAAGCGAGCACGAAGGTCAACGGACGAAGAGGAGGATGCGGAGCATGATGATGAATCGGTGAAGCAGGGAGGAGGTGACCAGGTGCTTACACAGAGGTCGGTGGATGGGGGAGAAGAGGAGGAGCGTTCAGATGAGTCAGTTGGAGAAGTTGATACCGAGGATGAAGCGAGTGGCGATGAGGCTGGTGAGGTCGGGTGTGATTGTGACCTGGAGTTGGATGTGAAGAAATCGGCAGTTTACAGGCATTAGTTGGGTCATCCTGATTGTTGTCATTCGTACTCGGATTCTTCTTTCACTGTGTTGTGTCGTGCGAGTCATACTCATATCATGCAGCTTAAAGTTTTAGAGGCAATCTTCATTCACTTGTACAAGCCAGTGTTGTGTGTACAGAAGGAAAGTGTTATCACCTCAAATTGTTTACGTAGTGTATGGTGCGAGTGTTTGAATTCTTTATTCTCACGATGGCACCATCGCCAATAAGAGATAAATTGATGAGAAGGTGAGATTGTGGGTTAAACAGTTGGAAAGTGATTTACATCACGTGTTGTGAGTATGATTGTCCCCCCCCCCCCCCCCCGCCAGTGTTGTGTGTACAGAAGGAAAGTGTTATCACCCTCAAACTGTTAACGTAGTGTATGGTACGAATGTGGTGAGTATGATTGTCCCCCCCCCAACCCCTCCTTTCACACTTCCTTCCGTCTGTTCAGGTTCTTTCTTTGTTTTGCTGATGCTGATGATTCACATATCCATTGTTCTTACCTGCTGAGCTTGCCCCCCTCACTGAATAGATGTAGTATTATCACCTTTTTGTTTCGCTCCTTTTCACCTTCTTTCACTTTTATTTGTTCATATAAGATTAGTTCAAGTAGTTCCCATTACATTGTTACGTAGATTCACTGATGATTGTAACAAGAAAACAGTTCTGAACGAATCCTCTCTTTCCCTTCCCTGTGTGCCTCGCGATAATCGTGCAACATTTTACACATACATGTCGAAATATATGAAATGCTTACTGTGCAATTAGTTGTCTTTGGAGCTATACAAAATACAAAAAAACTGATTATTGAACTTGGCCAGGGCCTTTGTGCCTACGATCATGCTTTGCACGCCAGCAAAGGTAACGGTCGTTGAAAGTGCGTACTGCAAATGCAGTGCTTGAACCAAATAAAATTCAAATTTCTAAATTTCCCGGCATTTTCAGGAATGTTATTTTGGTCACATGCGTGCCAATGTTTGCGCGTTGAGTGAATGGCCTATTAAACAGCCCAGCACTTGGGCTATGATGCGTCTACCAGATGCTAATGCTGCAGAAGCCGAACTGTGACAATAATAAATATGGTAAAATACTTGAGCGCCGCATTGACCAGTGGTCGAAGGGATATTTTGCAGAGCTGCAACGGGAAGCGGACACCATACAGACCTCTCTTCTATCGTCCAAGAACAAACATAAACGTGATTCAGTGGGTCCGTCGGTTGACCCTGCTAGGCGTTTTGCAGATTATGTCACCGCGGGCAAAGTGGGCAAGGCGCTCCGTGGCTTGACAAGCGGTGATGATGGAGGCGTGCATCAGTTGGACAACGAGATTGATGGACGCACTGTCCGGGATATCCTGAAAGACAAACATCCACCCTCAGAGCCGATGAGCGAGGACGCCGTTATTGGTGGTGATCCACCTGCTCCACCTCATTCGATCTATTTCAGCAGCCTTGGACGTCAGTCGATTAAGAGTGCAGCGCTCGGTACGCAGGGTGCTGCGGGGCCGAGTGGTGTTGACGCCGAGAACTGGAGGCATTTTTGCGCTAGTTTCTCTGACGCCTCCCAGGGCCTTTGCGATGCACTAGCATCGTGTGCAAGGCGTTTAGCCTCCACGAATGTGCACCCAGCATCTTTGTCGGCTTTCACTGCGTGCAGATTGATAGCATTGGACAAGCAACCCGGTGTCCGGCCGATTGGAATAGGTGAGGTCGCTCGACGCATTATAAGCAAGGCCATCCTCTCCGTCGTAGGCCAAGCCGTTCAGGAGGCGGTTGGGTGTATACAGCTATGCGCTGGCCAGGATTGCGGTATAGAGGCGGGAATACATGCGATGCAGCAGGCCTTTGAGCTGGATGACACCGAAGGAATTCTGATGGCGGATGCAAGTAATGCGTTCAACAGACTAAATCGACAGACTTGCTTAAGAAATGTTCGGCACTTGTGTCCATCACTTGCTACCAATCTAATTAATACCTACCGTGATCCAGCTCATCTCTACGTGGACGGTGAAAGTATCCTGTCGCAAGAAGGGACAACACAGGGTGATCCCCTTGCAATGTACATGTACGCGTTGGGAATAATGCCCTTGATACGTTTGGCGGATGATGCGGGTGCGGTTCAGTCATGGTTCGCGGACGATTCATCCGCTGCTGCTCGTCTTCGCAGACTCCGTCTATGGTGGGACATAATGGACAAGAGAGGACCGGCATATGGATATTACGTAAACCCAAAGAAATCGGTCCTTGTCGTCAAGGAAAGGTGTTACCAGGAGGCGACTGAATTGTTTCGAGACACTGGTGTAATGATAACGGACGCGGGATCACGATATCTTGGCGCAGCAATCGGAAGGGACAGCTTTCTTCAAAGCTATATCAAAACAAAGGTGGACGAATGGATGGGGGAACTGAAGAAGCTAGCAGTATTTGCACAAACCCAGCCGCAGGCTGCGTATTCTGCGTATGTGACGGGCCTCAGGGGTAGATGGGCGTTCCACTGTCGTACCATGAAGGTACCCGAACCCATGTTCCAACCGCTGGAGGACATTGTGAAGTCTGAACTGATTTCCGCCTTAACTTGCCGTGCACCCCCAGGCGACACCCTCCGACGGCTTATGGCTTTGCCGTGTCGTCTGGCAGGGCTCGGTTTGATTAACCCTGTGTCCCTATGCCAACAATAAGACTCGTCGGTTCGGATGACCAACCCTTTGTCTCGGAGAATCTTGTCAGGGGATGACTCCATCGGTGACTCGGTAGTGTTAATCAGATCGGCCAAGAGAGACGCCAAGGCATCTTCGCGACGTCATCAGAAACTGGAATTCGACGCGATATCGGGCAGTGCGTCGGAGTCGCTACGACATGTCATAGACGTCGCGAAGGAGAAAGGGTCGTCGAGCTGGCTGACGTGCCGTCCACTTAAGAAATATCATTTTAATTATTTTAACAAAGGGAGAGTTTTGGGACGGACTCTGCCTCCGTTACGGATGGACACCGGCCAGGGTACCGTCACACTGCTCTTGCGGCCAAGAGGCAACTGTCGCGCATTCCCTGTCGTGCCCCTATGGAGGGTTTCCCTCCATTAGACACAATGGTATTCGGGACGTCACGGCCCGGCTGCTGGACGAGGTGTGCACCAGTGTGTCCATCGAGCCCTTGCTGCAACCGCTGACGGGGGAGCGTCTTTGCTACCGGACCGCAAATGTGGAAGACCGTGCCCGGTTGGATGTCGCTGCCAATGGTTTGTGGGGCAGTCGTTTTGAGCGTACACTTATTGATATACGGGTTTTTAATCCTCACTCACGCTCAAATCGATCTGCACCACATACTTTTGTGTATCAGCGACATGAAAAAGAAAAGAGAAGGCACTATGAGGAGCGGGTGAGGCAGGTTGAGCAAGCCTCCTTTGTTCCGGCGGTCATGTCAGCCAGTGGTGGAATGGGTCCAGCATCAACAGCACTGTACAAACAAATTGCTCATCTGTTGGCGGAGAAGAGGGGTGAGCATTACTCTCATGTTATGGCATTTGTTAGATGCAGGATTTCCTTCAGCCTTCTGAAATCCTGTATCATGTGCATTCGCGGTTGTAGGCGTTTAAATTTTGGTTTGAAATTTGCACCCTCCTGCGGAGCCCACGCTGCTTTGGCAGTGGCGGAGGCTCGCTTGCCGACGTAACCGTCGGAGATCATCATGAACAATGGACTGACTAATTATTCACTTGTCCTGTCTTTATAAATAACATGTTATTGCATATGTTCTTGGTTTAGTTTTTGGCCTTTTTCGTGCTTTGGAGTTGATAACATTTTCCTCACTATCGAATAAGACCTGCAGGCTGCTGCCGCTCTCCGTTCTAAAAAAAAAAAAAAAAAAAAAAAAAAAAAAAAAAAGCACTTGGGCTATGACAATTTGGATTGACAATAGGCAACAGTAACAAGCAGCAGTTTCACAGCGGTCAGTACCCGCGGTGATTGCCGTGCAATTTTATTGCATGAGCTGATTGTCTGGCAACTGGTGATGTTAGCGGACATCGTAGCGTTACTCGTAGTTCCTTTGACCATTTTTTCTATAAATCCCAGGTATCCTTATCAGCCTGTGCGTGTTGCTGTTGCCATTCTCGCAATTGTTTTTTTGCAGAACAAAGACTAGAGTGTCAATGCTGGATAACGTATCAACCAATGGATCACCCAAGATGGGCTTATCCAGAATCGAAATCGCCACGCCATCACCAAACAAAATGTTTAAAGAGTCAGCTCCGAGTTTGGAGCCCACCAATATTATCCCAGATAAGAAAAGATATATCAAAAAGAAGCCCACCTCGCTTGATAGCCCTGATGTGGAACAGTATTCGTTCGTTCCCGTCCAAGACAAAAGGTACTGCACCTTGGAATTGTTAACATGTTTTTTGTTTGTTCTACTGAAATATTTGTAGAAAGGTAAAGGACCTATGGATACGAGTTAAGAGTAACTCTCCATCACTGTAACTGGATACTATATACGGTCAGAAAGTGCCATAACTAGGCACAAAACTGACAAGAGTACTGAGACATTCGACGTCCTGTCACCTAGCTTCAACACATCTCCGTAGCGCTAACCGACAGCCTTCCAACTTGGAAAGTTCAAGGTTATGGAAAAACCAAAGAGGGGGAGGCAAGCGCAACGAAAACGAGCAAAAGCTACAGTCCCAATGGAACAAAGAATTTCGATTGTTTCTGAAATGTCTCAGTACTCTTGTCAGTTTTGTGCCTAGTTATTGTACTTTCTGACTGTATAATTGTAGTATCCAGTTACAGTGATGGAGAGTTACTCTCAACTCGTATCCATATGTCCGGCTTTTCCTTTCTACATTAATGTATGGCTCAACATCCGAGTTTCAAACTACAGAAATATTGTTCACCTTTAGAACCATACAATATTTACGTTGTACTCATCCTAATCTCAGTGTGACGAAGATTTCTGATGATTGTCACACGAAAACGACGTGAAAATCCCTACACAGTCGTTCCTCTTGTGTCGTACCATCAGTGCGTACACATTATTTCCGTCTATAATCTGTTTCTTGTCACACTGACTGTTTTTGTTTGTATGCTTATCTGCCGGTAGCTGTCTTTACAGCTATGCTGATAGCTGTTAAAATGCATGAGCCGTCAGATGACAGAACTGACCCGATCACAAAAAAAATCAGATTTGGGGTGGGATTTTATCGGAAATAATTCCGGTACTCGAAAGGAATATCTTTTTGTTGTTGTGGAGATTGCGTTGCCAGCCGCAGGGCACAGCGGTGGCGGTGGTGCAGTGGACACAGAACGAACATTGACGGTCTAATAATTTCAAGGTTCAGAAATACAATCATCCTGCTCCTTTCTCTCAAATGTGAAAGTACATGTAGTGCATGTATAAAATTATAAAATGGAAATTTCCTTGTTGCTGTTTCTTCTGCTGCGATGCTAACAGCCGGACTTCCAATTTGTCTGATGTCTCCTGCTCGGCTCCACCCGACTCAGAACTATACGATAATCTGTATAAGTCCACTTTTAGCAATGGCAATCAGGGAATCAGGTAAGATACTTGCCTCATCCATGTAGCACTATTTCTTTTTTTTCCAGTTTCTTGAACATACGATCGAACCAGAAACAACGGGGTCAAAGTGTCGAAGTCTCCAGGACCAAGCACAATGTACGGCAGTAGCACAGAATAGTAGAGAGCTGCCACTTTTCTGATTGCCGAGAGCAGAGGAGGCATCTGGGGTTGTTGGTGGTGAGATTTCTTTATAGTGACCAACATTGTGAGCACCTGCTAGGTTCCATAGTTCAGATAAATAGACAATTTCTCCAGACAAGCCAGGTCCCAGATTTGCGTCCCTGTGGGTTTGGCATTTGTCGCTTTCCACAACTGCTATAATGTTTTTGCAGATGCGATCGAGCCCCACAATGTCGAATGAAATAATTGCGGATCGGCCTCCAATGAAGATGTCAAGTCTACAGACTCGAACAATGGTCTTGAAAATTCGAATACACTTTACAGAGATTGGCTGTTAACACCCAGCGCACAGTACGAAAACATCCAAAAGAGTCGAACTAGAAGGCTGTCATGCTAACGACAAACACACTTGTAAAAAATTACAATCTTAGAGTGATCCATACTGGTGACAGAGTACTAATTACGAAATAGAGGTTGCGACTTCGGCGATGATTTTGTATAGAAATGGGTTTGCTCCCACACTGGAGCTCGCGCTATTCCGCCGACGACTTGACACTCGTGTTCTCTGGATGGCAGTCGTGAGTCAGTCAAGTGTCAAGTCGTCGGCGGACTAGCGCGGGCTCCAGTGTGGGAGCAAACCCATTCCTTGAGTACTAATTGCAGCTACAATTAGTACTCTGTAACCGTGTTGATTACTCTAATGTTGCCATTTGTTTCTGTCTGGTGCGCACTTACTCTATTGCTTGTGTTGTCATTGTTATACAAAAGAGAAAGGACCAAGGAACTAAAAGTTTCGCCATACGGTCTACTGACATCACCAGTTACTAAACAATCAGCTCATGCGATAACATTGCACGACACTGACCGACGGTACTGACGTTTTACAGCGAACTGGCTAACAGCTCAAGCACATCTTGGATGATTGATATAGATATATTATTGATCTTCGTATCTTTTGAGCCACACACGTTGTGTGGAATGTTGCTTTGCGTTCTTGAATATTGGTTTGACCGTATTGTCCAATTGTTTTGCCAGTATCGTCATGGATATGCGTGAACATCCGCCAACATCCTTCACAGCTGAGACTTTCAGCTCATGCTTATCTTTGTTGCGCTCACCTTCCCCTCCTCATACTATTTCTATAACTTAGAACCTTCCAAGTTGGAAGGCTGCTGGAGTGCACGTCCAAGTCCTTTCTTTTTTTGTGCCGTATGTCAGCGCCTTTAAAGCCATGGCCTTATATTCGAAACACCACTGCTTTCCTAGATATTTTAGATGCAATATGACTTACACACTATGTCATTTCATACAAGTCAATACAGAGGATTAGCAAGACGAAATTCGCGTTCGCGTTCGCAAACATTTTTCAGTTAGCGAACTGGATTGCGAACTTTCGCATTTTTCGTTCGGAAAAGTAGTCGGAACACGAATCGCGGATTCGTGTCAGGACAGTCATAAATTTACTACGCTATACTGTCTGCACATAATGGACGACGTGGCAACGTCATGCATGTGCGAAGTCTGTTTGCTAATCCTTCTCATAACTCGAATTCCGTCACTGAGTTCGACTTTCCTTGGAGAGCGAACGCGAACGCGAATTTCGTCTTGCTAATCCTCCGTACTATCCACACAGAAATTTCAATCTATATCTACTTCTTCATCCGTCCTGCTAGGCTGTAAGTTTTCTTAGCATAGTACTTATTCCTTCATTTTACAAAACATACTTTAAATGTAAATATTCTACGGGAAGATAACAATTTTAATATGGCAATAAGTAGGACGAGCTGAAGTGCCATTTGGATTACTTTACTAAAGAATATGAGCAATGGAGACGATGGAAAAACAATCTAAAGGGCAAGGAAAATACATGTAAGAAGAAAAAAGAGATGGAAAAAAAGGATGATTCGAACAAGTTCTCATACAACACTCTTCAGGAATCACCGTTGTCCTAAAGAACAAAATGATAACCTAATAATTATAGCAATCAAGGTAGGGTAGCAGGATACAATGACAGCACTAAAATTCAAATGTCATTTCATTTATGAAGCCAATGGCTGTATAACTGAGGCTGGCCTTATAATCGAATTTACAGCCATGTCTTTAAAGGTGCGGACATACGGTATAATTATGGTGAAAAAAGGAGGACAAAATGTTACGAGTTATGACTAACTGCCCACCAACGTAATCAGATCTTACACAGTCAGCGAGTGCGACAAAATGGCACAAAACTGACATTTTAACATTTCCTCCTCCTTTTGTCACCATAATTTAATTGGGTCGCCATCCGAGTTAAACACACAGTGTAAATCAGTCCTTGGCTCTTATCTCCATTCCTGCACACCTGATGAGTTGTCATTGTTTTGTTCTTTTACTTATTTTCTGTCTTTTTGCGTGTTGTGGAAAGGTGGTTCTTGACCAGGGAGTTGTACGACTCCTTGTTCTTGACCTGCCCCGTACGCGAACCCGTCGAATTTTTGTTGTTGTTTTTTTTTTTGCGTGTTGTAGGTCTACAAGCTCGGGCTCAGCGGACATGGCCAATAGCAAGTCGCTCAGCAAATCTACATCTAACCTAGAACGACTGTTTAGGCGAACGCCAGTAAGCAGTCGCAAGAACACATTCAGTGTCAGCAAGAATACCTCCTGCGAGGTGCTATCGTCTCTCGCGGGCACTGAGGTTGTGTACGCCGATGCGGACAGAGTTGGCGAACACATACAGCCGTATGGGGACATAGCCCCGGTGGCCGCTGTACGGAATGCCAGTGACGCCACAGCGAAAGGGACGGATGACGTTGGACGCGCCAAAATGCACCGGCACGCTACTATGGTAATGAGTGAGTTGTCGCAACGGCACGCTGAAAACACACTTCCCCGCTCGAAAACGTTCACCACTAAAAACCTCCGTAGCCATACATTTGATGGCAGCTCCCCAATCGCATCAAATGCTGGTGAACACGCTGGGCTAGCATCTAACATTAAAAGGATTCGATCAGAGTGGGCTGCCGCTAGAGGCCGCCGGACAGACAGCAATGTGAAGGATGGAG